GAAAGGTACTATGAAAGGTACTATGAAAGGTATTATGAAAGGTACTATGAAAGGTACTATGAAAGGTACCATGAAAGGTACTATGAAAGGAACTATGAAAGTTACTATGAAAGGTACTATGAAAGGTACTATGAAAGGTACTATGAAAGGTACTATGAAAGGTACTATGAAAGGTACTATGAAAGGTACTATGAAAGGTACTATGAAAGGTACTATGAAAGGTACTATGAAAGGTACTATGAAAGGTACTATGAAAGGTACTATGAAAGGTACTATGAAAGGTACTATGAAAGGTACTATGAAAGGTACTATGAAAGGTACTATGAAAGGTACTATGAAAGGTACTATGAAAGGTACTATGAAAGGTACTATGAAAGGTACTATGAAAGGTACTATGAAAGGTACTATGAAAGGTACTATGAAAGGTACTATGAAAGGTACTATGAAAGGTACTATGAAAGGTACTATGAAAGGTACTATGAAAGGTACTATGAAAGGTACTATGAAAGGTACTATGAAAGGTACTATGAAAGGTACTATGAAAGGTACTATGAAAGGTACTATGAAAGGTACTATGAAAGGTACTATGAAAGGTACTATGAAAGGTACTATGAAAGGTACTATGAAAGGTACTATGAAAGGTACTATGAAAGGTACTATGAAAGGTACTATGAAAGGTACTATGAAAGGTACTATGAAAGGTACTATGAAAGGTACTATGAAAGGTACTATGAAAGGTACTATGAAAGGTACTATGAAAGGTACTATGAAAGGTACTATGAAAGGTACTATGAAAGGTACTATGAAAGGTACTATGAAAGGTACTATGAAAGGTACTATGAAAGGTACTATGAAAGGTACTATGAAAGGTACTATGAAAGGTACTATGAAAGGTACTATGAAAGGTACTATGAAAGGTACTATGAAAGGTACTATGAAAGGTACTATGAAAGGTACTATGAAAGGTACTATGAAAGGTACTATGAAAGGTACTATGAAAGGTACTATGAAAGGTACTATGAAAGGTACTATGAAAGGTACTATGAAAGGTACTATGAAAGGTATTATGAAAGGTACTATGAAAGGTACTATGAAAGGTACCATGAAAGGTACTATGAAAGGAACTATGAAAGTTACTATGAAAGGTACTATGAAAGGTACCATTAAAGGTACTATGAAAGGTACTATGAAAGGTACTATGAAAGGTACTATGAAAGGTATTATGAAAGGTACTATGAAAGGTACTATGAAAGGTACCATGAAAGGTACTATGAAAGGAACTATGAAAGGTACAATGAAAGGTACTATGAAAGGTACAATGAAAGGTACTATGAAAGGTATTATGAAAGGTACTATGAAAGGTACTATGAAAGGTACCATGAAAGGTACCATGAAAGGTACTATGAAAGGTACTATGAAAGGTACTATTAAAGGTACTATACGAGGTATTATGAAAGGTACTATGAAAGGTACCATGAAAGGTACTATGAAAGATACTATGAAAGGTACTATGAAAGGTACTATGAAAGGTACTATGTAAGGTACTATTAAAGGTACTATACGAGGTATTATGAAAAGTACTATGAAAGGTACCATGAAAGGTTCTATTAAAGGTACTATGAAAGGTACTATGAAAGGTACTATGAAAGGTACTATTAAAGGTACTTTGAAAGGTACTATGAAAGGTACTATACGAGGTACTATCAAAGATACTATGAAAGGTACTATGAAAGGTACTATGAAAGGTTCTATATGACGTACTATGAAAGGTACTATGAAAGGTAATATGAAAGGTACTATGAAAGGTACTATGATAGGTACTATGAAAGGTATTATGAAATGTACTATACGAGGTTCTATGAAAGGTACTATGAAAGGTACTATACGAGGTACTATGAAAGGTACTATGGAAGGTAGTATGAAAGGTACTATGAAAGGTACTATACGAGGTTCTATGAAAGGTACTGTGAAAGGTACTATGAAAGGTACTATGAAACGTACCATGAAAGGTACCATGAAAGGTACTATGAAAGGTACTATGAAAGGCACTATGAAAGGTACTATGAAAGGTACTATACGAGGTTCTATGAAAGGTACTATGAAAGGTACTATACGAGGTACTATGAAACGTACCATGAAAGGTACTATGGTAGGTACTATGAAAGGTACTTTGAAAGGTACAATGAAAGGTACCATGAAATTATTCTATAGAACGTGTATATGAAAGTGGTCTATGGAAGAGATATCTAGAAGAGTCTGTGAAAGGTGTATATGAAACGGGCCTGTGAAGTTGTCTATGAAAGGTGTCTGTGACAGGTGTCTATGAAAGATGTGTATGAAAGGTGTTTTTGAAAGGTGTCTATGAAATGGGTCTTTGCAGATATCTAGGAAAGGGTTCTTCAAGGGGTCTATCAAAGGGGTCTATCATGGAAAAGCTGTGAGAACCATTTTACACACAACACTATGGTGTGCGTTTTCATACCATTGTACAGCAATGTAGTAATATTGCTTTGGCCTCAGACTTAAGAATCACTTGATCTGCCAATTCTAAGTTGATTATCAGATACAGATGATCAATACTCTGCTAGAAATAACTCTACGATACACTTTAAAAAAATCGCCCCCATGTGAACCCCAATTTTACACCTTAACATGTATATGTTACATGTAAGATGTAAAAAAAAAAAATAACTATACACCTTTACCAATGTATAAATGTGTAGCTATATAAATTATCAAATGTGTGGATTGCGCTTAGGCAGTCGTTCGCGTAAGTACACATTCTGAATCTGTTATTTGACTATGTGCTTTGCAATTATACATAGTTAATGTCTGATTAAAATCCGACATGGATTTAGGACCAATTTATATTCCCGTCTGCAGCAACTTGTTCACGATATGTTTTAGTTAATCTTATTTTTCAAAATTCTTTTCATTCTTCATATGTTTTATATGAAACTTAAATCACTTATATTCCTACATATAGAGTTACACATGTCATAGGTGATAATAACACTAACGGGATTTTAATATTTTTAAAAATTCTTTGTGCTTTCTTGTCTCGTCTGCTGAAGGGGGCATCTGGCCGAAACATCCTTTTCATTGTCATCTCTTTTTATTTCAAACACCACCACAGCGTCCTCATCGCCATGAGTAATGTCTTTCTTTATGAGACTAACAACGTCATCAAATAGATGGTTACTGTTTGGAGGTGAGACGGTACGTCCCATTGTGATGCAGGTCTTTGATGTAGACTTTCTTCAGAACACCCGAAGTAGCCACAAGAAATGTTTTCGCCGTCTGAGTGAGTGGACAAAAACAAAAAAAAGAGTGTTTGGTGGGGAGGGAGGTGAGCTGTATCACGATCTTCATTGAGCAGAAGGGGGTCGCAAAGTGAGGGTCAGTGAAAGTTCAAAGTGCAGGGGGTGGGGGTGGGTATGTTTGTGGAAGAAATAGAAAAAAAGGGGGTGCGGGCGATGGGGAAAGCCAAAAATATTTTCTTTATGGAACAGGTAGAAAAATTAGGAATCTATCCCAGGGGTGCTCACAGAATCTTTCCTTTGAGAGAGTGACAAACCCGTTTTCGATAGATACTCAACATTAAACTTAATAATATTTTCAAGAAAATTATTTCTTTATAATGAATGGACAAGATGTTTCATTGCAATGTTACAAAATGACAATTGAAATGTATCTTTTCTAACATTGATTTGTTGTTGGAAAAGGGGGGTGGGTGGTGCGCAGAGGGGCAAATGCCAGTTGTTTGAGAACCACAAGTCAACTACAGGTTAAGGAAGGAGAGGGGGGGGGAAAATGAAAATCGTTCTAAACAACCCGCTAGAGTGCTGTGAGTGAGAGTGTGGGTGAGAGTGTGAGTGAGAGTGTGGGTGAGAGTGCACCGGGAGTACGGCCAGCCTCCGTGTGCTTCACCTCACAGGTAGAAGGCGTGTCCATATATGGTGCCAACACAGACCCAGGCGGGGTGGGGTGGGGGTTGAGGGGTGAGAGCAGGCGAGCAGACGATAAACATGTGTGCGTGAGAAGAGACAGGTAAGACGGGAACCAGGTGAGACGGGAACCAGGTGAGACGGGAACCAGGGAACTCCTCGGGTTTATAGTACGGTCGTTTTGCAATAGAAAAATAACTTTTTGTTGTTGGTGGGAAATAGTGCCAGCTGAAATCACTGTCAACAACAAAAATGTCACAGTTTGAACTCAAATGGCAGACCAACATCCGTTCTATTTACTATTAGGAAACTATCCGATCGTATGAGGAAATGTATGTATCTATGAAGAAGTTTAAAAAAAGTTGATTTACCATTTGGCGTGGATCAGAACACACAGTGACAACGTACCTCTTTTCTATGAGGAGTGCATTATCTCAACCCCCCCCCCCCCCCCCACACACACACCCCCGTCCCCAACTGCATACAAGGATGTGCTCATTTTGAAATGGCATACGATTTCAAGTAGTAATATCGTGTAAATAGTGAAATGAAAACATAGATAAACGTATTTGTTTCGTTTAGACAGAGCAGGAGGTCAAAGTTCACAGTAAAGATGCAATTTCCACCAAAAAAAATGCATTTTTAAAGTTTAACAAAATTCAATCCTTGTCGAAATAATCCCGTTATCTCTATATTTGCTGAGCCAAATCCAACCTTAACGTCTTTACGCTTTACTCCCCCAACCCACCCACCCCCCACCCCCCTCAGCCTTAATTCATCTTGGTTCTGACTAAGCGCTACCATGATTTGGTAAGAAAAACTCAACACAAGGAGGTGACCTAATTCTTTTTATTCCGGGTTTTAAAAATCATCTCCTCTCTTAACCTAACAGCAGTGGGGTGGACTCTGATTTAAACAGATTCAATATTCCGATAATGTTATATATAGGGTGGCCACGATAAGTAGCCAGGATAATTAGCCACGATAAGTAGCCACTTTGGTCTGATTTGAAAATCTGATACAACAAGTGTATCATTTGTATCATTTGTATCAGTCCAGTCCCAAGTTTTCATCCCTATCTCTACAATTCCTAAACAACTTTAACACTACAGTTCCTGCTTGCAATACTTAACTTTAACACTACAGTTCCTGCTTGCAATACTCAACTTTAACACTACCGTTCCTGCTTGCAATACTCGACTTTTCTACTAAATTTCCTGCCATGATGCTAAGCTATTGCAGTCTGAGTGTGATTATCATGCATATTTTTACTGTCCAGACACAGCCTCTCATTAGAATGTGGTAGTCCCTTCCCATATGAATTCATTCATAGACCAGACGTTATCTCTCAGTAGTATTTAGATATAACCAATGGCAGATACAGCAATAACTTTTAAATCTTTTTTAATTTGCCATCAACGTTAGCTATAAACAACAACAAAGACATCTCGCGATATTCGACTTCACCCACGGGAAATGACGTCATCTCTACCTATCGTCATAATAGGTCACGATGCAGGACGTTTTTTCTCCATTTTTTTTTCCGAATTTTTTTTCTTTAGAGATTAAGTGAACTTTACCAGACCTGCACTTCCAATTATTAAAAAAATGATATATATTACGTCATAGCCGCCACTAAACTAACGTTAAGCTAAAAATAGATTCTCACTGTGTTGTACTTAGGGTGCTATCATTGACTAGCACGCTGCTGTGTGATTGGTTTATTTTAGGAGGAAAAAAATTTATCAACCCGACCACACATGTTTTGGGAAGGGTTCGGGGGCTTTTTAAAAAATCTCTTGAAGTCACATCTCGGTTGGCAGACAAGCAGAAACAAATGGGTTAAAGAAACGAACGATATTTTTTGAAGTGTTACTTGTATGAATTAACTTGTTGCAGTTCTGGTTTCAGACCTTTTAGAAATTCATTTAGGGATTCGACTATTTAAGAACCTTAAAAGGATTTCAAAAGAAAAAAAGTCTTAAAACACAGTACAAGTTTGTTTGTTCTCACTCTATCTGTTTTTATATATATTTTATTCGGAATCATACATCATTAAAAAAAAAAAAGAACATAAAATTGGTACCAGCCAAAAGCCGACTAAATCATTTGAAACGAAACAACAACTAAAAAAAGTGTCTCGTATGAATAAAAAAACTTATTATAAAATGCAAAATATAATTAAATTTGACAAATCATGCCTTTAAGTAACCCCCTTTACAAGAACCCAAATTTGTTCTCACCCCCCCCCCCCCCCCCCGCGCCAGGCTCGCTATGACACATTTGTTTCATCCCCCTGAACTATATTAATATGCGTTTGACCCACCCACTTTTACACAGCAGATTTATTTCAACAACTACATTAGAAAAAAACGAAAGAAATTATTACGCACCAAACGCTCTTGCAATATTTAAAAAAAAATTCATGTAGGGCAGGTAACTGGAATTTTATTCCGTGAAATCACATGTCCTTTATCTTCCCCTTGGAAAACCGGAACAGCATTTTTGATGGGGGGTTAGGATTGGGGGGCGGGGGCTGAACATTTGACAGAATGTCTTGGTATCGCCAACGTGGCAATGTGCCAGGTTTTTAAGCTCGATAGGTTGACGGGAAGAGTCTCGGTTAGCCGTCCGAAGATTCTTGCCACACACCCTGCCCGACAAAAGCGACAATAAAATGAAGGATTTCAAAAATCCAAGGTTGATACAAAACTGAGATGACCACATTAAGCTGAATTTTTTATATATTTTTTTTTTTTAAAACCAAAGTTATTTCTCCTCAAGTTTCGCCAGAAATTCAGTTGAGCTCAAAATTTAAATTTCGGTCACTTTGTATCTTTTCACTGGCACTCATATAAAGAAAAATAAGGTATTCGGTTGCCAAACATATCTTCTTGGTTTTTTTCTTTTTGGTTTTTTGCTCGTGGTGTGACTGCTTCCATTTCCAGAAAGCGCAAAAAATATAATTGCCCTTAACTACGCTAAATGGTGTTTATTTTAAATGACATAACTGCGTTTGGTTCGTAATATTTTCTTTTCGGAAAGTGAATTATCTCCATTTAAATATGCTGTGATAAATATTCGGTTTGAAAATGGTTGGGACATCAGAATATTAATATAGTTCATGGGCGTGAAATAAAAAGTGTGCAGTGACGTATCATGGGGGGAAGGGGAGCAGCAAAAATTTGGATTCTTAAATGTGCGTTACTTGAGTTCATATTTTGTCAAGTAACTTTGGTAGAGGAGAAATTCACGCATTTCTGTGGCCAACATTTGGCGAGCTATGTATGACTAGTGCTTCATAAAAACCTTCAGCTGCTTTGTTTTTCGCCCATCTGTCTGATAACAAAAAAATCCATGCGTCTTTTAAAAAAAAATATACAAGGCAGACTGAATATATCTCTGTCTCTCTCTCTGTCTCTCTGTCTCTGTCTCTCTCTCTATCTCCCCCCCCTCTCCCTTTCTCTCTCTGTCTCTCTTTCGATTATCAACTAATAAACTAATTTCTCTTACACCATGTTATTCTTAGACTGGCGTAATACATAAACAATAGCCATCTAAAACAATGCAACAGTCTCAGTGATGAACTTGTCCCATTGATAATTCCATATTTTCAAAGCGTTGTCTTTTTCAACTGCGTTCATTTGACTGTACCTGGAGACGACAGTGGCATCGATAGTTTGAAAAAGAAAAAAAAAAATGATGTGATTTAATTCCTGGTATTTTCAAGCATAAAGTGAACATTTTAATTTCTCATTGTGTGCTTCATTTGGTGTTTGTGAGCGCAATAAAGCTATTATAGAAGAGAATATCTGTTTGTGTTTCTTTATATATTCATAAGTACTTATATGTCATCAACTTAATATCAAATCCTTCTATTTAACTAAATAAACTCTATAATTATTATATTTTTTTTCCTCCGATAATTATCGGAATCTTTGTTCCATAGTCCATTCTACCTTAAAGAGTTCAGGGCCAGTTGTTTCAAGAAGGTCAGGTCAGCTTTCTCACTGGACATGGTCATAAATGCGATATAGAAATCGTGGGACTGGGGACTTGTTCCCAGGGTTGTGCGGTCATCGGTTCCAATGACGATGGGGAAGTCGGCTGCCATTAATCCGGCCATAGGGTGATTCCGGAAGTCGCTGACCAGTCTCAAGACCTGTGACGTCATTGAATTTAAGAACTTAATTCAACGACAGTTTGCAAATATGTATGTTGATATGTTTAAAAAGAAACACGCATTGAGCTTAGTAAGATAATAGTTAATTAAATTATATCTTAAATTAATGAATGATGCTCATTAATTTACATTAAATAAAGTATTTAGAAGTATTGCACAGCGATGTTCCCAGGTCCCTGCTATCTGACCTGATTAGAAATGGGCTGGACCTCCACAGCTATATCTTTGCTTTTAACCAATTGAGCCAGTCTGGGGTGTTTGCTCAAGGCGAAGCCATGGCCGATTCGGGTCGAGTTTAGCAGGATGGCATCGGCGAGGTTGTCGTCTGCTGCTGTACCTTGCCAGTCTTAATTTTGGACAGAGATTGATGCTATTAACCTATTGAAGTATTTTCTCCCGTCTACACGCTCATACGTCATACTCAGATTACAAACTCAACCCAACTCCTATTCTAAAAACAACGCAACTGTGATCCTAGGTCTTTAAAATCTGCTCCTGTAATAATTCAAACACATGGCGCCAGAGGTGGGGGCAGGGGGGGGACAGATGTCCCCGGGCGCCAGCTAGTTAGGGGCGCCAAAATGTGCTTTGATATTATTTTATTGATGAAAATAATGGGTTTGAGAGTTTAAAAAAAAGAAAAAGGGGCGCTAAAATGGATCTTGTCCCTGGGCGGGAATCCTGTCCCCGGGCGCCAAACACCCTCGCTACGCCACTGCATGGCGCTGCTCTCTAGAGAAGCACAATCCAGTCTTCAAACTCACGAATCTGACAGAAACACAGATCAGCCAAACACAGCACTTACTCGACAGTAGACACAGATATATATAAAAAATTGCCTCTCGAAAAGAATCCTGCAGCATGGACTATTTCGAATCAGTTTGACCAAACCTTGCCTTGGGAAATAGGCAAGGACGAGAGAGTGAGGCTGATGGATTGAGCAACTCTCTCTCATTATACAGCTCAAGTCAAGGCCACTACTCAAGTCAAGGCCACTACTCAAGTCAAGGCCACTACTCAAGTCAAGGCCACTACTCAAGTCAAGGCCACTACTCAAGTCAAGGCCACTACTCAAGTCGAAGCCTTGGTAATCTTCACACGCGAATGATCAGCAATATTTGAATGACATAATAATGTTGAGGAGATATGAGATACTTACACACCAAACATCATAATATATTTATAAAAGTGTGATTTTGTATGTGGTCAATCGTATAAATATAAAGTATAAAATTTAGTTGCTTGCAATGTTTATATGGAATTTAAAACTATTATAACTTGATGCAGATAATTTACAAATACAATTTTCGATATACTTAACACATTTTTTAAACCAAATCCATAGAATTTTTTTTGTAATTAATGATTTATACAGAACACTCTCTTAAACAAATCTAGTACACCCCCCCCACACACACACAATATAAATAAATAAAAATGTAATTGGCGTGTAATTGAAATGCTAGGTCTCAAAAAGTGTCTTTGTAAAAGCTTTCCACTGGATTCTCATCTAGAAAAATTAAGTTTATAACAAACGCTTGAGGTCTTGAAAAATGCCAAAATGTTTAGCGTGTACTTCTTTATTAGTTAAAGACGCCTTGGTAAGGGTTAGGCCATGTAAGGAGAATGGAAGAAGATCGTATTACACATTCTTATAATCCCGTGTATGTAGATTTGACGATGCTTGTGGGACGACCGAGATTGCGATTAAAGGACAGGTCCACAAGGATGATAAGGGAAGCCAACAAAACGACATTACAAAAAGCCAACTTTAAGCAGAGGTCAAGGTAATTATCGAATACAGTTAGCACAAAACAAAGATTAGCCTGAAATATACGGATCATCGAATGCAACGAACGTAGTGATTTTTGATTGGTTTCACCAATTGTAATCGGTGAAGGCGATAGTTACTAAATCTTGTAATTTTTTTCTTTTAATTAAAATAAAAGCTCAGAAGCATTTTATAAAATATATTATAATTGTAATGTACACCTTTTGCTACGGAGACCGTGGAAGCTGATGTTCTGGGGGGGGGGGGGGGGGGGAGGGGAAGAAGGGGCCCCCCCCCCCCCCCCCCCCCGACCCCGAGCCCCAAATCCCGAGAGAAACTCTAATGATGTGAACGCTTGGGCGCCAGGCCTTTAGCCGTGACTATGTGTGACTTACTGGTCTCGCCCGCGTGTAAGAAATATGGTAGTTTGTACGGCGGGACTTGTCTGGACGGGTACAGCAGGGCATCGATGTAGAAGGTGAACGGTTTGAAGGCGGCCTCGTTTCCAGCGAGGTCGTAGCCAATCACGAGGTCCGGGTACTTGTCCTGCAGGGCCATCGTTGTTTTGATTTGTTCAAGGATCACAGGCACAGGGCGATTCCTACTTGACCAAAAACATCAATGTTTATCTCCCTTGTATAATGCTCACTCCTGTAAATGCTTACTTAAGTGGGAAATATAACAGTGAATATTATATACATTTTTTTAGAGTCTTAAATTCTCAATAAAATGTATTTAGGGACGTGTGCTTGCAAGTTGCAATCAATATAGTCTGATCTTTGGAAAAAAAATGGTTACATTTCATAATCTAGCACAGTGTTTCTCAACCACCCTAATGACACGACCCTTTAATACACTTCCTTATGTTGTGGTGACCCTCCCCCCCCCAACCATACATTTCTTTCCGTTGCTACTTCGTAAATATGTGTTTTCCGATGGTTGTAGGCGACCCCTGTGTGAGGGTCGTTTGACCCCCAAAAATAGGGTCACGACCCACAGCTTGAGAACCACTAATCTAACAAAATTACTAATATGTGCATCAGTGCGGTGGATCTTGTTTAATAGCTACAGTTATCGGGGATTCCCTGGTATGTTAATAGCAATTAAAACTTTGAACTCATGTGGTAAAATGTTGTGTTAACGAGGGAGACGGCGGTCAGTCGCTCGAAATGAATTAAAATCTCAAAAAAAAAAGCAGTGACACTAATTTTTTTAATGAAAGAATCTTAGCAAAAAATGACATCATTCACTGCGTGACGTCTTACCGGAGACCGGATATGATAACTTTAGCACCGCTGAAGTCAGGATACTGTCTGGTAAATCTGTCGACCGCCTGCTTGACCAGAAGCACCCCGAACTCAGTGTCGTGGACTGTGCCGTTCAAGTCAAAGAACTGTGGAGTCATGTTGCTCAATAATTAGAGAATGTTTTGTATTCTATAAAGATATACAATAAGTGATATTTTGTAATCTATGACCATATATCATTGGTAATTAACCATATATAATTAGTTAATGTTTTGTTGTCTGTGACCATATCTAATTGGAAATTTTTTTTTAAAACTACAAAAAAAAAAAAAAAAAAATAATAAGACAATAACCAAATGTAATTAAGTAATTTATAACCATATGTAACGAGTGAGTATTTTTTAATCTATTACACCATATAATATGTGAAGGATTTGTAAACTAAAAATATATATATAAATATATATATATTATATATATATATATATATATCTATATATATATATATATATTATATATATAGCATATCTGTGGGTTATGTGTGTAAAGGATGAAAACCTTAGTTGGTCATCCACCACACCCCACTTCCGGCTCTACCAACACGCATGATCACGTCACCAACCTCAAAGACGTTCAAGTATCCAAGTCAATAAACAAACCTCCCACTCACAAGAAATGTACACGCATTTAAGGCTCGTCTTTTATCATATCATTTTAATCATCCTCTTCTTCTGAGTGTTTTAATTAGGTCCATATTCTAAAGTTTATTCTTAGTTTTAATAGGTCCAAATTCTAAAGTTTATTCTTAGTTTTAATAGGTCCATATTCTAAAGTTTATTCTTAGTTTTAATAGGTCCATATTCTATAGTTTATTCTTAGTTTTAATAGGTCCATATTCTAAAGTTTATCTTTACTTTTAATAGGTCCATGTTCTAAAGTTTATCTTTAGTTTTAATAGGTCCATATTCTAAAGTTTATCTTTAGTTTTATTAGGTCCATATTCTAAAGTTTATTCTTAGTTTTAATAAGTCCATATTCTAAAGTTTATCTTTAGTTTTAGTAGGTCCATATTCTAAAGTGTATCTTTAGTTTTAATAGTTCCATATTCTAAAGTTTATCTTTAGTTTTAATAGGTCCATATTCTAAAGTTTATTCTTAGTTTTAATAGGTCCATATTCTAAAGTTTATCTTTAGTTTTAATAGGTCCATATTCTAAAGTTTATCTTTAGTTTTAATAGGTCCATATTCTAAAGTTTATCTTTAGTTTTAATAGGTCCATATTCTAAAGTTTATTCTTAGTTTTAATAGGTCCATGTTCTAAAGTTTATCTTTAGTTTTAATAGGTCCATATTCTAAAGTTTATCTTTAGTTTTAATAGGTCCATATTCTAAAGTTTATTCTTAGTTTTAATAGGTCCATATTCTAAAGTTTATCTTTAGTTTTAATAGGTCCATATTCTAAAGTTTATTTTTAGTTTTAATAGGTCCATATTCTAAAGTTTATTCTTAGTTTTAATAGGTCCATATTCTAAAGTTTATTCTTAGTTTTAATAGGTCCATATTCTAAAGTTTATTCTTAGTTTTAATAGGTCCATATTCTAAAGTTTATCTTTAGTTTTAGTAGGTCCATATTCTAAAGTTTATCTTTAGTTTTAATAGGTCCATATTCTAAAGTTTATCTTTAGTTTTAATAGGTCCATATTCTAAAGTTTATCTTTAGTTTTAATAGGTCCATATTCTAAAGTTTATTCTTAGTTTTAATAGTTCCATATTCTAAAGTTTATCTTTAGTTTTAATAGGTCCATATTCTAAAGTTTATCTTTAGTTTTAATAGGTCCATATTCTAAAGTTTATTCTTAGTTTTAATAGGTCCATATTCTAACGTTTATTTTTAGTTTTCATAGGTCCAGATTCTAAAGTTTATTTTTAGTTTTAATAAGTCATGTATTACAATTTTTTTTAATAGCCCCCCTATACAATAATTTTGTTCTTGACAAATACATTTAGTTTCATTATTTTGATAAGGTTCAATCAGTTCCCACGATACTGCCATCACTTCATAACACTCCTAGCCACTCACCCCAGTGAAGTCACCTCTTATTTCAAGGTATTGAACATTTGCCTCCCGGAACTCCTCCAGCGTTCTATAGACCATGTCTCGGAAGATGGGCACGTGATACAGCAGACCTCTGACCTTCAGAAGATATGAGTTTCTTTACGGGATAGTTTCCAAAACAGATATTTGTTAAGATAGACAGCTAACAGGTACCAGGGCCGGCGCTGTATTATTTATATAATCACGACGTGCCTACGGCCCTGCGCATGTGGTGGCGACGCGCGTAGCTTTATATTATTATATATTAATAATATAATCAGGCCGTGCCTACTCCTGGTACGTTATTTTCCGTCAACCCAACAGTCGAAAGTAGATGATATGAATTCGACTTGAATAATAGCCTTGACCTGAGCTGTATTTTGTTTAAAGTGAGGGAGAGTTGCTCAATTCGTCAGCCTCACTCTCTCGTCCTTTCATACTTAATCTAATGACAAGACTTAGTCAAGACGACTGGAAATAGACCATGGTGCAGTAGTTGACCAGCTGTGTGTATTGTGTGTTTCACTGTGCTGTTTGTGCGTTCTGCGACGCAGGAGTAGTCGGACATTTTTTTTTTCATTGAGTCCATGTCTACGTTATACTAACCCCGAGTTCGATTTCATACTTTGCCTTCTCTTAGATAAGTTGACATCCAATCCAGCCGGGTGCTGGAGAAATGTTTGATTTTACTTGGCATTGAACTAGATTCCACTGGCTTGGTATGGATTCGATTTAGTCAATACGGTCAGATAATCGAATAGCGCGTCTTCCGGTTTCCTCTCCCATTATGACCTGTAAGACTAGTTATGACTTGGAAGTGTCTTAATATTTTTTTCAAACAGGATTTGAACATTTAAAGGCTTCTCAAAACGTACATGTCCCAAGGCCCCCCTAACCCCGCACCATCATAACGCCGGCCCTGCTGGTACAGCTATTGACAAAATTAATGCACTGTAATTCGTTTAACAATAAAGAAAGTGTATAAATGATTACATATCATAACTGAACAATAACAATTTATTGACGAAAACTAGATTTATTTAAATATTTGAAACTCACATTTCAATAGTAAAAAAAAAAAAAACCGCTTTTCTAGGGAGTAGATTAAAGTTGATGGCAGTTTATGAATTACAACTAGAGGATTATCATGCATGGCGTCATATGACGGAGTAAATTTGGTTAATATATATTAGAGCCTATATCTTTTTTTTTTACTAGTTTTTTTTTTTTTTTTTACACTCCCAAACAGACATCAACAATACCTGTGTGAAAAATCGTATGAATCTAACCCAGGCGGCCTGGCTGTCTACATACGTGACCAGTGGATCAGTAGCCAGCATGCTCAGATTCTGTAGAAGACTATTCATATATAGGATTAAAGATGAGAGAGTACGAAGGGGATAACTAAATAATAAAATATTAAAAAAGATGACAAGTTGATGCCTAGAGAGTAGGGTATCCTTCTTTATCTGAGTGTTAAGGAGAATTGTAATGCAATTTTACAAACACTTTCGAGGCTCACATCTTAGTGACTTCGGTGCTGGGGAGAAATATTGAGACATTTTTCTGTTTGAAGAAATGTCTATAGATGTTTCTAAGCTGCATGATTTAATATGTAGTAATCGGAGTAGAACATTGTGACTACCTTCGAACCTCATGATTAAAAAAAAATAATTATAAAGGCTTCTACCCGCAGTACTAAATTAAATTAACTAGATGGAGCACGCCAAACATTGGCGACAGCAATGCGTGAACTTCCCATCTACTAAAGTTACTTGACAAAAACGTGAACTCAAGTTACGCACATTTAAGAATCTCAATATTTGCTACACCCCTTCCCCCCATGATACGTCACTGCAATCATTTTATTTCACGTCCATGAACTATAATAATATTCTCATGTCACAACCACTTTTAAACCGAATATTTTTTTACACAACACTTAAATTGAGACGATTTCATTTCCGAAAAGAAAATATTACACACCAAACGCAATTGCGTTATTAAATATATATATACATATCATTTAGCGTAGTTATCGGGAATTATATTTTGCGCGCTAGTGAACTCATTATTTAACCACACTCTGGCGTATCTATAAATAGCCTGCGTGGTGGTGTTTGACCTTTGCTGGCGAATTATATATATATAACTTCTGCTCTACTTACTAGTCATCAAATTTGTCGGGATTTCCCGATGCCTTTCTTTCTTCCATGACGGATTTCCAGAGACATGCTGCGTAGAGAGAGATGTTTACAGTCACCATATTTGCTTTCACTATAACAATTTCAAGGTTTAAAAAGTTGTTGTTGGTGAAATCACATTTCGACATTGTATACAGATTTAAAGTGAAGAACATTTTTATTAATTTTGTATTAATATCACTTTGTTGTTGCTTTCTTTTATTAAAACGAGGTGTGTGTGTGGGGGGGGGGGGGGGGGGGAAGTGTATTAGTGTTCCGATGATTTTTGTTGCATTTTTAAATTGCAAAAGCATGACAGACTCCAGGCCCAAACGTTTACCACCGACACCACCTTTGACCTTCTCAGAGCAATCAATACATTTCGACATTGTATACAGATTTAAAGTGAAGAACATTTTTATTAATTTTGTATTAATATCACTTTGTTGTTGCTTTCTTTTATTAAAACGAGGTGTGTGTGTGGGGGGGGGGGAGGGGGGGAAGTGTATTAGTGTTCCGATGATTTTTGTTGCATTTTTAAATTGCAAAAGCATGACAGACTCCAGGACCAAACGTTTACCACCGACACCACCTTTGACCTTCTCAGAGCAATCAAAGGTGAAAATACGTACCCACATCTGCACTGGAATGGTTGAGGACTTTAAATATAAGAGAGCCATTTCTTGCACACATGAACACGTTATTTCGGTAGGTGACATTCTTCACAATCCACTGGGCGCTCACCATGGACTGGTCATGATTATGTAGGGCAGCTCCTGGACAAAAAGTTAACACATCGAAATGTCACCGAGAATTATGTTAGTTTTTTTGTTTTTGTTTCTGGATTCAGTCATTGATCAAGTACGCGAATAAATGACTAGCCACCATTAGCTGTGCAATAGCCAGGTTTTGACTAACCACCACTGGTCATAGAATGGCGTGGTTTTGAAAAACCACCACTCGCATTCTCCAAAATTACAACAAAAAATAACTTCAACTAATTAAATTAATAAAATTTATATGCATACATTATATTTTTGAAAGTCAGAAACAAGCAATACAAGCAAACAAAATGTTCGTAGTATTTTTGTATGAGTATTCTGTATATCAAGGACACCTAGAGAGAATGAAGAGGGTGCATCACCAATACCCCAGAGGAAAAAGGCTCAAAGGCAGACCTAGGCTTAGGTGGATAGATGATGTGGAAAAAGATCTTCAGTAGCTGAAAGTCCAAGCATGGAAAAGAAAGGCATCAGTTAGGTCTGAGTGGAAGGAAGTGGTGAGGCAGGCCAAAGCCCTACATGGGCTGTAGCGCCACAGGGATGGATGGATTCTGTATATCAGTGGGCGTTTAAAAGTAATTTATCACAGCCTTGTTTTGAGTAGGCTTCATCCTTGAAATATTATCCATCCTTTCCTTCAACCATATTTAAGATCAGAGTTCGTCGTCCTCCACCTGACTGACTCTCAGTGACACGCGTTGAACAGCTCAAGGATCATATATGGTATTGTAATAGTTTATCTGATGCTTCCTTCTCCAACACAGGTGAAAACTTTCCTACAAAATTTTGAGAAATGAAAATGTCCAGAATATCTACGTGCATAAATTGGACAATGATTGGTGGAGAATCTATCTGGACTAATCGAGAAAAATGTTTTCGTGTATGAGGAGGTCCTACAATTTGTCTCGACATTTAAAAATTAGTCTGTGCTGGATAAGGCATATCGAAGTGATGATATATTATAGAGGTGTCATATCGGTATACAGACAGACACCAAAGATGTGTCATGGGGAGATCGAGGCAAGGATTGCGAGACATGGGATGGCGAGACAGGGATGGTGAGACAGGGATTGCGAGACAGGGATGGCGAGACAGGGATGCGAGACAGGGATGGTGAGACACGGATTGCGAGACAGGGATGGTGAGACAAGGATGGCGAGACAGGGATGGTGAGACAAGGATGGTGAGACAGGGATGGTGAGATATGGATGGCGAGACAGGGATGGTGAGACAGGGATGGTGAGATATGGATGGCGAGACAAGGATGGTGAGACAGGGATGGTGAGACAGGGATGGTGAGATATGGATGGCGAGACAGGGATGGTGAGACAAGGATGGTGAGACAGGGATGGTGAGATAGGGATGGTGAGATATGGATGGTGAGACAGGGATGGTGAGACTGGGATGGTGCGACAGTTATGGATGGCGAGACAGGGATGGTGAGACAGGGATGGTGAGATATGGATGGCGAGACAAGGATGGTGAGACAGGGATGGTGAGACAGTGATGGTGAGATATGGATGGCGAGACAGGGATGGTGAGACAAGGATGGTGAGACAGGGATGGTGAGATATGGATGGTGAGATATGGATGGTGAGACAGGGATGGTGAGACTGGGATGGTGAGACAGGGATGGTGAAACAAGAATGATGAGATAGGGATGGCGAGACAGAGATGGTGAAACAGGGATGGTGAGACAGAGATGGTGAGACAGGGATTGCGAGACAAGGATGGGTACATGATCCATGTTCTGATTTACATTAACAACGGGTTCGTTCCTAAAAAAAAAAAAAGATGTGCCGTGTATTGTCCAGGCAGACAATGTTGTGATGCAGGCCATAGACTCTGAAGGGCCCGTTTGATGATAATCAGACGCGGCGGCTGCCCCCACTCTCACCTTCTAGCTATTCTACAGGTTAAGAGAGGTCAACATCATCTGGTAAATAAACATAGGTAACTGAATTATCTCTATCGACACCTTGTTCTAAGACAATCAGGAGTAGATTGTTGGGGAGAAATGCTAGCCTGTGTGTCTTTCTTTCTGTATTTCTTTTGACCAACAGATTTGTACTTTGATCTCTTGCCTTGGTTAACAGATATAGAAACTCCCTGACGGATGAAGGCCTTCGCGGGGCCTTTTCATGTGGAAATGGATAGATGAAAATAAAAACATATACGTTTATGTATATTAAGTTTCACTCTTATCCTGAACTCATCTGCACGGAATTCAAGAAAATTACCTTTCGGCATCCGTTGAATTATCTTGAATACATTGGTCTCTTCAATGAACGCTTTAGACAGGTAAATGCTGTCAGCAACTTTAAACACTGTCTTGTTGAGCAGACTGTTCTCTATCATCTGGCGTTTTTCCTTTTCGAAGACACAAAAGAAGTTAATGGCAGTTCCAATTATTGAGTTGTGTTCAACAATGACATTATGTTTCAAAACCCACCAATGTTGTTCTAGTAACAGATGATTAAGATATATCCCAGTCGAGTTCTTGTTGTTAACTTAAGCGTATTTTATTTGATTATCTTCATTTCATCACTGTATAATTTCAAAACCTGTAGCATCCTTACTTACATTTATATTAAATTTAAAATTCTATTACTGTAACTCAGATCTATGTTAAATTGAAAACTCTATCGCCTTAAGGTAGATCTATACTAAATTTAAAACACTATCCCCTTAACTTAGATCTTTACTAAATTTAACACTCTTTCCCCTTAACTGAGATCTATGCTAAATTTAACACTCTATCCCCTTAACTGAGATCTATGCTAAAATTAACACTCTATCCCCTTAACTGAGATCTATACTAAATTAAAAATCTTAACGTGTTTCTTGAGTTCCAAAACTATAACAACACGTAGCTAGAGTCATTCCCCTTCTTCTAGATGGCCTTGAGGACAAGCTTAATGCAATAATCAGAGGCGTATTTTAAAGATAAGTTTAAAGATAATTTTAAAGATAAGTTTAAAGAGAAGTATAAAGATAAGTCTAAAGATAATTTTAAAGATAATTCTAAAGATAAGTTTAAAGATAATTTTAAAGATAAGTCTAAAGATAAGTCTAAAGATAAGTTTAAAGATTAGTCTAAAGGTAACCCCCAGAGATAAAAAGGTGATTGATAAAATACCTTCATGAAGACGTCATTGACGATGCATTCCTTGGGAGACAACACCAGGTTCCCCCCAATTCTCATGTGCTCCTCTTGTGAAATCAGGTCTGACCTCATCTTCATATATTCCAGGTCTGATATGGAGCTGCATGACGTCGGGGTCAGGCATGCCATTAAGACCAGACAGGATGTCAATGCAGACATCTTGATGGGAGTATTCATTGCAATCTTTGACGTGAATGGACTTGACACTGTCAGGTAAAATGGGATCATATCTTTATAAAAATAAATTATGGTGGAGAGACAGTTTAAAATTTTAAAAGTATTCTTTGCGAAAGTATTTATAATTGATTGTATTTTTTTTTAAATACAAGAGCAATTTCTATTAGGTAGGGCAATTTGTATAATTATATTAATGAAGGGAAAATAAGACGTGTCAATCCCACAGGGCAAATCAAGACTGGGAATACGACTAAAATTGTTGACGTGTTTGGGTCAAAGTCATTTCGAAAGCGCGACTCGGATGAACACTTCCGAATACAGAATTTATTTTGCATTTCTGACCGTGTCGAGATTCTTTGACTCAATCTCAAGAGTCCTGGTAGTAAGTATTGCCAGTGAGTTGAACTTCGTAAGTTTAAAAGGTCACTGGTACAATATGACATAAACCGTCTTTGGAATGAGGTAATTGGGTTTCTAAAGAATAAACACTAGAAAAAAAAAAAGACCCGCTATTACCGGGATAATAATGGAGGCCAAAATGGGACTACTTTCTACCTGCTATTTCTAAGTCTCAACATCTACAGTTCTAATTTTTACGTTCTAACAGAATTCAATTTTGATGTATTGTATCCTCAAGACAAAAACAATTGCTACAATTTTTTTCCATGCCCTTGAAATGTTTAATTATGAAATATTAAAGCACACTTTAAAAAAAATACATACCAATAGCTTTCAACGTTTCTTACATAATTAAAAGTTTTGGAACCGTGTATCTTCTACTTTCTACTCCACTCTTGTTCCCGCCCCTGAACTCCATGGATAATATTTAATAAAAATTTCAACAAAATGTATGCACCATCTTAACTATTTGTAACAATTTTTTTATTTAGTAGTAACTTCATTACAAATTTATAAAAAAAAACACACACATTTTGAATCCCACTTGAACTATGATGTCGACAAATGTAAAGAAGAGTTTCTTAAGCAATGTTCGTGCCGCCAAAAGCTGTGTGTTTTTAATGATCTAGAACTAGGATTGCCATACAATGTTAATCGCGCTTTTCGATGAAATGCATTTTTATCAAAATAAAGGGACACACATTAATAGACATTTTAAAGAAGATCTATAAACAAATCGCTTTTCACGATCCTGGATTGTATTTTTGGTAACTGAAAAAAAAAAATTTATATAGCTCTATTTTTAAAGATTAAACTTTGATGCATGTAAAATTATTGGGTTTATCGATATTGTTATAAACGTAACAATGTCGAAATCTGTCTTTCGCATTAAACATGTCGATTGTAAAATGTAACAAATATTATTCTTGATACAGCATATTGTTATCATCCGCCCTAAAATGAGCACTTGGGGAAAAAAAAACAACGGAAAATTACGATGTAACGGTGTACTTATCCAATACTTTCCACCTCCCAACTTCATTGTGTATTGAGGTATAGGTATACTTAAATAGTGGTATAGGTATACTTAAATAGTGGTATAGGTATACTTAAATAGTGGTATAGGTATACTTAAATAGTGGTATAGGTATACTTAAATAGTGGTATAGGTATACTTAAATAGTGGTATAGGTATACTTAAATAGTGGTATAGGTATACTTAAATAGTGGTATAGGTATACTTAAATAGTGGTATAGGTATACTTAAATAGTGGTATAGGTATACTTAAATAGTGGTATAGGTATACTTAAATAGTGGTATAGGTATACTTAAATAGTGGTATAGGTATACTTAAATAGTGGTATAGGTATACTTAAATAGTGGTATAGGTANCCCCCCCCCCCCCCCGCCCGCCCACTTGCAATGGGTTTTCCGAAAAAGTTTATATACGTTATTTATTTAGTTTAAATCTATCAATTTGTCAATGGCCGGTGTGTAATATATATTTGGGCTCTGAGATATTGCTATACTCATCAAATACGCCAACTTAACTGTCGCGTAACTTGCGCTGTCTGTGGTTAAGTTTAAAAATCGCAGTCAACCACCCCCCCACCCCCTCCTCCAACCCCCCCTCCAACCCCCTCCCCCATTTTTTTTTTAAAACTAGCTTAACTCTCCTCATCCGATAAACACTAAATATATGATATGATGTAAATATTTATTTCTCATTTATAAAAATAATAATCGATACATAATTAAAGATTAGATATACTTTACTGTAACCAGAAGCAGATTTATTTTATCAGATTCATTTGGATTCCATTTTAATACAATAAGCAAAAATAACTTTTATTGTTTTTAAGAATCCCATTTACTTTTAGAATTACAAGGTGTATCTTACGCGCACATTGAAGGACGTGTCTCTTACGCGCATATTGAACACACATTTGCGCGCTGTTTGTTGCACATTTGGGGAATTTTATTTTTCGCGCTATTGAAATTAGCGAAACGCATCTACATTGGATCCTGCTGATATATTATATATATATATATATATATATATATAAATATGAAGAAAAAATTGCAATTAAATTGTCAAAAACGGAATTCCTATTAAATAAAGTTTGTACGAATTTTTAGAGTTGTTTCTTAAACACATGTTAAGTGCCGATCAGATATGCTGGGTCCATAGCTTTGATACGTTTGATAAAACAAGTAGAGTTCAGAATGCGTGATAGGAATGAAAAAATTTGAAAACAGCCTTATAACTCGATCAAGTCTCAATTGTAGCGCTAACAAAAATGTAATATCAAATACGTACATGATTCCCCTGTTTGGACGTCCCCCGAAAAGTGTAACGAGCGTCAGATCGTTCCGATGTCTAAGTATTGCTTCACGCTGTCTTGTTGTCTCTCTCTCTCTTTCGATTTTAGTTTCTCTCTCCTTGTTAATGTACCTGCTTTCAATACTATGTGACCGTCTTAAATTGTTACCGTCGAACAAGAGAGTGGACATCTACGCCGGCCACCGTCAACACCGTTATTTATACACAGAGCAGGCTCACCCACCCCCACCACCACCACCCCTCGTGTTGTTTGTCGAAAAGAAAAACTAAGACAAAAACAAAACAAAAAAAACAAGTCAACTTGACATTTCCCTAAGCTCGTTAGTGTGCATGTGACTTTTTGAAACAGTATTTTGAAAGGTAACCTTGCCTACTATCTCGAGAGGTAACCTTGCATACTATCTTGAGAGGTAACCTTGCCTACTATCTCGAGAGGTAACCTTGCCTACTATCTTGAGAGGTAATCAATGCCTACTATCTTGAGAGGTAACCTTGCCTACTATCTCGAGAGGTAACCTTGCCTACTATCTTGAGAGATAACCATGCCTAATATCTTGAGAAGTAACCATGCCTAATATCTTGTTAGGTAACCTTGCCTAATATCTTGAGAGGTAACATTGCCTACTATCTTGAGAGGTAACCTTTTCTACTATCTTGAGAGGTAACCTTGCCTACTATCTTGAGAGGTAACCTTTCCTACTATCTTGAGAGGTAAACTTGCCTAAAATAGTACGTACAGGATGTAAAGTAAGTTTGAGTCATAAATGGGGCCCAAAGAAGTTTTACACCGAACGCCAGGTGGTGGTTCTTCTTATTGCTGGGCTTGATGTTGTCTCCGTGGTAACCAGAATTAAAAAGTTGGGAATCACTGTGATGAACTTGAGTAATGGCATTTGTCCATTTCTGAAAGAAACGTAATTTCCCTAGAAAATGACGGGGATCTTTACAGGGAAATTGAATTCGGTTTTTGTGTTTTGTATTTGTTGTGTTTTGTTTGACCTATATATCCTGGTCTGTCTATTTTTAGCACTGCTGTACGCCCTGTGAGCTTATTACAAGCGGGCCTTAAGGACACACTGCGAGACATACTAAACGTTTAACGAGGAAACCAATGAACTGACGAAACCGTTCATTCAGGACATGCTAAATATTTATAAGTGGAACAAGCTGAAAAGCCCCCAAGCTTAATTGTTTAATATTAACTTTCTTTTCAAAATCTTGCTCCCATTTTGTTCCTCGACCTGGTAACATTCAGAAACCAAATCTAACATCTCCTCCACTCCCCCCCCCCCAATGTAAAAGTAACTACTAGCCACCAACAAAACCCATTTTTTAAAGTTTTTAAGGTGAACAAGCGGAAAAACCCCCAAGCTTAATTGTTTAATATTAACTTTCTTTTCAAAATCTTGCTCCCATTTTTTTCCCCGACCTGGTAACATTCAGAAACCAAATCTAACATCTCCCCCACTCCCCCCCCCCCAATGTAAAAGTAACTACTAGCCACCAACAAAACCCATTTTTTAAAGAGTGATATATAGTCGCCTTTAAAAAAAAACTGTTTCATTGATGACATAACTTGTCGGACGTTGTGGTCGATATTCTCTAAAAAAAAATTCCTGGTTGATACACATAATGTAAACTTTCCACAGTGTCTAGCATTAAATCGAATCATTTCATCCGACTTTGCCTGAATATTTGGGTTTGTATGATGTATTGGTCAGTACGTGTATCTCATGGTTTATGGTCAGTACTTGTATCTAGTAGCCCATGGTCAGTTTGTGTATCCAATAGCTCATTGTCAGTACGTGCATCCAGGAGGTCATGGTCAGTATGAGTATCCAGTAGGTCATGGCTATTCTGTGTATCCAGTAGCTCATGGTCAGTACGTGCATCCAATAGCTCATGGTCAGTACGTGCATCCAGTAGGTGATGGTCAGTACGAGTATTTAGTAAGTCATGGCTAATCTGTATCCAGTAGGTCATGGTCAGTACGTGTGTGCAATAGTCGTATATTGCCAGTCACAAAGTTTTCTGTCTCTCCAACAAGAGATACTTTGCTGGATGATCAAGTTCATTCCACCAATCTGTGTGAACCTCTTCCTTCCACCAATCAGTGTGCACGACTTCCTTCCACCAATCAATGTGGACAAGTCCCTAACAGCAATCAATGTGCACGAATTACTTCCACTAATCAATGTGGGCAAGTCCCTTCCACCAATCAGTGACAACTCCTTTCACCAATTAATGTGGACAAGCTCCTTCCACCAATCCATGTGGATGGGTTCACTCCACCATTCAAATGTGTCAATTTGTGAGTCGACCCATGACTCATTTGACAAACTTACTCATAAAAATAAATTTTCTTGTAATGAATTGACGCACAACATTTCTCGGGGTAGTTTTGTCAATTTCCGTGAAATTGAGTATTCCACAGAAGATGTGCTCATGAATTATGTTTGTGTCCTGTTACAAATTAAGGGTTAAGATGCCAAGGCTTTGGTGACACACTTACCACTGGCTCGCCCGTAAAAGCAAAGGTGACACTAAAGCACAGGTGACACTAAAGCACAGGTGACACTAAAGCACAGGTGTTACTAAAGCACAGGTGACACTAAAGCACAGGTGTTACTAAAGCACAGGTGACACTAAAGCACAGGTGACACTAAAGCACAGGTGACACTAAAGCACAGGTGACACTAAAGCACAGGTGACACTAAAGCACAGGTGACACTAAAGCACAGGTGACACTAAAGCACAGGTGACACTAAAGCACAGGTGACACTAAAGCACAGGTGACACTAAAGCACAGGTGACACTAAAGCACAGGTGACACTAAAGCACAGGTGACACTAAAGCACAGGTGACACTAAAGCACAGGTGACACTAAAGCACAGGTGACACAAACAGACACCCAATTCATGTACACAAAACAGCATAACCTCACAGCCTCAAGTGCCGCAAACATTCCCCAAGAGTACACCTGGAATGGATACGCCTGCGAATGTAGGTTAGAAAATAAATTACGCCAGATTCATACACTCTTCTTCAAACTTTTAGATAACAATTCTTAGAATATTTTTCAAATGAGAATATAAATAATATCTAACATTAGCCGAAATAATGTATAACAGGAACGTCTTGTGAGATTTCGAAACAACTGTATTAAAAAAGATAAGTGAATTTCAATACCCCGAGCGCCAGTTCTATTACACATAGACATTATTGATTTTAACGGGACAACAAAGGCTAGCTTTAAAGGAAAAAAAGGCCGTAAGAATGTTTAGTTCAGTAGGTACATTGGTATGCGGGGGTGTAGCCTAGGGGTTGTGCGTCAACCCCTTTCGCTTGACCAAAATTAATTAGAGAAACAGGACGAGAGAGAGGAGACATGGACAAAGGCGATGAGCAAGGATTGTGTTTGCCTATTTTTTTTGTAAAAATTAATTTTGCCAAAGTTTTATAAATTAAATTTCGCAACTGAAACGGCAGAAGAGATCGAGTCAATTGTGGTGTTTTTATGCATCAATTACAATTTCTTTGCCATTGTTACATTTCTTATTTTTTTAGATTCGAATACTGATAATATAAAGCCCTGAGATTCTAAAAATACTTCAAATAATGTCATAAGATTCTAATAGTAACACGATAATTCTATGAGGTTTGTTGTAGTAATAATACAATAATAACACATTCCTCTTGATGTCCTCTGGGATACTACATTACAACTAAGTGTTATTTTTTATTTAATTCTGTTTTTTTTTTTACTGTTGTTTGTTCGCAGATGAAGGCTTCTTGCCGACACGTTCGTTGTTTTGTTGCGTTCTTTCTTTTTTTTTAGGTTTCCTCCATACCCAGTTTCGCTAATTTACAGTAAAGCCCTGATATTATAATATTAATACAAAATTACCCTGATATTATAATATTAATACAACAATGCCCTGATATTATAATATTAATACAACAATTACCTGATATTATAATATTAATACAACAATTACCTGATATTAAAATATTAATGCAACAATGCCCTGATATTATAATATTAATACAACAATGCCCTGATATTATAATATTAATACAACAATTACCTGATATTATAATATTAATACAACAATTACCTGATATTATAATATAATACAACAATTACCCTGATTTATAACAGTAATACAACAATAACTTGATATAATAATACTAATAAAATAATGCGTAACCTTTGGATGCTCAGCCGTCGACCTAAACACCGTTTCAATACCCTGTCCACGCCGCTGAGTCTGTTATAAATACAGGACATAAACAGCAAACCGGATGTAAGCTGCAATAGATATGTCTGTAGATGTTTGTGACACACTAAACACAAAGTTTACCACAATGAAGTAGAAGCTCAACCAGAAGCACAACAGGAAGAATAAACGGGGAACTCGACATAAATGAAGCTGTGGGATAGGATTAAGAGCGCTATGAAAAGATCGTCAGATAGGAAGTATTAGGATTTCAGCCAGCAAACAGTGGACTTCGTTGGTTTGATAAGGAATGCATGGAGACTGTCGAAGAAAAGAAGCAAGGCACGAATGACCAAGATAAAAAGGGAAACCAGAAATGCTTGACAAATATACAAGGAAGCCGGAAGGAAGGCAATGAAAATGTGTAGGAAGAAAAACAACTGGGTGGAAAACAGGTAAACTAAAAGAAATATAGGACCTATCAAGAAATGGAAATACTAGAGCGGGCATGCACAACATACGACCCTGTTTAAAAAAATAATATTTTGCATTAATCCCCCCCCCCCCCAAGTTTTGCTTAATTTTCTTCTACCGTACTAATTTTTTTTTTTTAAATGTAAAGCAATTTAAATTACTTTTATAATAAAATGGTAAAATCCAAAGTATTCATTAGACCAAGGATCTCAATTTCAAATCGTCGGAAGGGGGGGGGGGGCAGGAGGTAGTGTCTGAATGAGAGTGGGCCGCATCAAGTTATCCACAAAAAAGCGATTACAATTGTTACAATCTGCTCAACCTTTATAAATAACAATAAAATCATTAAGGGTTCTCAAGAACTACTCACTGTTGCCAGAGACCTGGCATACAAAAATATGTAGAAATATTTTTTTTTTTAAAGTCAGAATTAGACTAGTCGGTGATATTCGACTGAAACCGTCGCGGAGAGTCACGTTATAGATATGAGAATGGGGGAAACGGGCCGGCGCATTTACACTAAACTTTTCTGCGGGCCGCAAAATATAGTCTTGCGGGTCACATATGGCTCGCGGGCCGCGAGTTTGAGACCCCTATATTAGATGTTTATTTATTAATATTTACGATTATCTAATTTTTGTTATAAAAGAATGTAAATATTTATACTTTCCCACATCATTTTCGATGTATGCAGAATGTATGCGGGAACGAATTTCAAAATATCTTAATATTTCATTTTCGGTTTCGGCTTCGGTTTCGGCCGAAATTCATTTTTAATCTTCGGCCTTTTTTCGGTTTCGGCCGAAAGTCATTTTTAAAATTTCGGCCTTTTTTCGGTTTCGGCCGTAAGTCATTTTAAACTTTCGGCCTATTTTCGGCTTCGGTCGAAATCAGAAAATCACTTTCGGTCGGTCTCTACCGCCAATAGGATATCAAGACACGTTATAGTCGTACTGGGGGCTTTGCTGGTCATAATGGGACGCGTCATAACGGATATTTGTTCACTCGCTTAGTTTCCGAAATTTCTATTTATTTTCCTATAACAGTTAATTGCCCGGGCCCAAATTACCCATCACGGCTCCATTTTTTCCCAAAATCAATGTTGACATGATTAGGAGCTATAAGTAGGCTTAGGTAGATTATAAATATACTACGGCAACGCGCGGGGACCCGCAAACGCGGGGCCATGGGTGGTCACCCACTTCGCCATCCCCTAGCGCCGGCCCAGAGAGCATCATGTAACTTTGAAGACCTCCTGCCTACTATTAGAGCATCACATGAATTTGGAGGCCTCCTTGGATGCCTGCTGCCTTCCACCACCACCAGGGCAACCGTGTGACTCTGGACACCTCCTGACACATTTCGGTTTGGTTAATTCACATTGAATCGCGTACATGTTATCCACATATCCCGCTAGTCTTTGCCCTCTTTAATTATCCGAGGCACCTCGCAGGTGGTTGCAGTGGTCACGTGATGGTTCTACATATCATGTGTGGAACAGCAACACCATTACAATAACTAATTACTTAACCCTCAAAGATGAAGTGTAATAATTAACATTTGTTATTTTTTTCATTCGCATATGAAATTTTAAATCTGGAGAAAGAAAATATCAACACGAGTCAATTAATATTGGTTTGATTTGAGTTTTCTTTGACAATCAAGTTTGACAATCAAGTTTGACAATTAAGTTTACGATCAAGTTACTAGATTTCAAACATTTTTGATTTATAAAATTTAGTATCGGTTCCTTTACATTTGAAAAATTAGTTCGGAAATTTAGATTTTCTAGACTGACTCGAACTGTTTTTAACTTGTAATAAAATAATTATCAATTTATTCTTAGTGTATTAGAAATGTATTTTACCAAAATCAAGAACTGCTACATGGCACTGAAGGATACCAATTTTGAAGATGTAATATCGGCACTGTTTTTGTTAGTTGTGCAGGACTAAGACATTTATACCCCTTGTTTTAGTAAGACTAAATCACAAGTTTATTCTTCAAGGGACGCTACAAGCTATATTCTAAAGATTAAACATCCTACGAGTTACCTGCGCTGACATGTTATAAGTTGCATTTGTTATTTAAAGTGAAACATTTGAATGTTTTAAACACTGTGCAATAATAAGGTCATTAACTAAACGAAAATATAATATAAACATTGTCGACCTGATATATAAACATTGGCGACCTGATATATAAACATTGGCGACGTGATATGTAATAAACTTATCTAGAAATCTCGTTAATTGACCGTGATATCAAAGAAAAATTTAAAATTGCTCTGTTAACATCCAATATTTTCCTGAAAATTCTCAAAAACAAGCCTCAAGTCCTACAACAAATCACACAACAGCTCACATAGCAGCTTACATAACAGCTCCTACAATAGCTCACAAAACATCTCACAGACCCCTGTTGAATTTGACCCTTCTTATAACTTGGATCTCTAGTAATAATCATGATGATAAATTCACGTCACAGATTTTGACCACAAATGACGTTGATCTGCTCGGCGGCACACTTCTAATAAAATGTTGACAGTTAGTGGTGCACCATGACGGGTATTGTAAGATATTGTAAAAAAAACACGCTTTTGAGGTTTGGATTGGGTTGGGGGGGGGGGGGGCTAGGACTATATGCTTTATAAAAAAAACGACTTAATTGTAATTTTTATAAACATTAAAAAGAAAATAATAACTGCTGCCTCTAACCAATGAGTGGAGCCAGTGAAATATCACAATGCAGTGCCGTCCTAAGGCATGGGCACAGTGGGCACTTGCCCAGGCCCCCTTGCTTCTAGGGGGCCCCTTGCTTCTAGGAGACTCACTCTTATAAAGGCTTCATGTTGCAAATATTGTTAATGAATATTGAAAAGTTTTGGCAATTAAATTTGATTTAAAAATCAGTGGACAGCACGTTTCCCAATTTTAACCCACGATTTTATCGGCACGTTCCAAAATTAATATTATAAATAAATGTGAATCACACGTTGGATACTTTTTAAACTTTTAAAAGGGAATAACTCTCGTCAACTAATTTTACTTCTCCCAAATATGATACGAAAAATGATAAAGTTAGAGTATTTGTTTACAAACATGTTAGACAAAGAAGTTGGCCCCGGGCGGTAATAACCCTAGATACGCCTCTGCTCCGTAGTGAAATAAGGGGAGAAAAATCTGTCCTAGCACAAGTTCAAGTGCTACTGAATTTAATTAACATTATATCAGGAATTTATAGGTCACAAATGAATCATTCTTTTTTAAAGTTTTTATATTTTTTCAACAGAAAAATATGTTGTATTCTGTGTTTCAAAAACATATTTAGATGATAAATAGAACACAACAGTTACCGTATGTCTGAGCTGTAGGCAGAAATATATAGGCATTTAGACATAATTTGTGCTCACTGCTTAAAGCTAAAAGTCATTTTCATCTTATATACTGAGTAGCTTAAACACAGAGATCGATTTTAATAATGGCACCATGGCTATTGATCATTTCCCGATGTTCGTTTTTTTCTAAATAATTACCTGTATCTTTCAAACGGACTGCTGCTATTACTATAGCAATACCTGTAACCAATGAATATATTTCTACGTGTTTAACCCCTTAACCGGGAATAAAAAAAATTAGTTTTATAATTGAAGCACAGAAGAGAAAAAGAGTTGAGGAGACAAGGAAAACGGGTAAACTTGCAAAATTAACATCTTGGTTAAATCCAAGCGAAATCTCAGTGACTAATACTGCTCCTCAAAGTAAAAAAGTCTCATCTACATCCTCTATTGGATCCAGCCATCAAGTTCCATACAATACCGTTACCTATTTTCTCTTCTGGGGTAATTGTAAAAATTGAAACACACAAAGCTGTGTCAGAAAACGAGAGTTTGTGATTCACCACACAAAACTGTGTCAGAAAACGAGAGTGTGTGATTCACCACACAAAACTGTGTCAAAAAACGAGAGTGTGTGATTCACCACACAGATCCCAGGCTTTGGAATATTAAGAACACGTGTACAGTTGTGTACTGAAGTCGCAGTGAGCCATCATTGTGTCAGAATCCTGACTGCAACCATTTAAACTCAGGCAGAGCTGGAGAAGAAAGAACTAAGACAAGATATTTATCAAGAATTATGTTCAAACGGGAACTGCGGAATGGCGAGTATGTAAACCTTGAATGGCTTCTCTATTCACCTTACACCAAGGTTGTTTGTATTGTTTGACGTGTCGCCTATTGTCCAAAAAAGTATTTCCCTTTGCTATATCAGGATTTAAGTACTGGAAACATAACAATCTTATTGTAGAACATGAGAATGGAGTACTGCATTGAAAGGACATGACTGCATATTTGCTTCGACTGAAAGAAGCTTGGTGTTTAGGTCCTTTATTAAACGAAAATATAATATAAAAACAGAAGTACTGGCATCAAGTTCTGACTCCTGGGGGTTTATGTCGTTTGCTTGCTTGCCTCCAGAGGTTTGGGTCAAACTATTGGGTCAGTAAACAATGGAAATTGTTGAGGTATTTTAGAGCTGCTGAGTGAAATTAACCCTTTTTTGGAAGAGTATCTCAAACTGTATGGAAATGCTGTAAAGTGTAACACATCATATCTGTCGGCAAATATTTGAGAATAATTTATTGATCTAATGGGTCAACATGTCCTTTGTGCTATCTTGGAAGAAATTAAAGAGTCAAAGTATTATTTAATAAGGTATGATTCCACTTCAGACATTTCACACATTGATCAACTGACATTTACGGTCCGGTACATTCGAGGATGTAAGTCTGTGGAACGTTTTATCAAGTTAATTTCCATATTTTCCCCATGGAGCAAAGGATCTAACAGAAACTGTTGTGTATCAAAGGATCTAGCAGCCAATGTTTTGGATTTCCTGAATGAGAACGAAATTACGCCTTCAATTTGCCGTAGTCAATCGTATGACAAAGCCTAAAATGTATTTGTCTGGACGCTACACTAGATCGCAAGCTCGAGTTTGCCGTGTATGCCGTTGTGCTGGACACAGCCTGAACTCAGTGGACTTAAAAGCAGCAGAGTGTTGTCTACAAGTTGGACAATTCTTTGACTTTGTTCAGCGCTTATATACCCTTTTCTCAGCTTCCACACATCGATGGAATGTTCTGGTATCTTCTGGTATCTTCCTTAGGAAAATCTCTCGTTGTCGTAAAGCATCTGTCTGACACAAGATGGTCCGCAAATTTTGATGCCGTCAACGTTTCGAAAATCATCTGTGCGTGTTATACGACGATATAATGATTAGTTTTTTTTCCTGAAATTTCCTTCTTCAATTGAGGTGCGTATTATACGCAAGGGCGAGTTATATGCCAATAAATACAGTAGTTTTTGGTAAAAATAAGTTGAATTAACCTATTTTTAACTTTATTGAATGTTTATTCTTATTTTACAATGTTATTCCTCTTGGTGAGTTGGGTCGGGAGCAACAATTGTTTGCGGCCCCCCCCCAACTGTTTGAGCCTTGGGCGAGGGCCCCACTTCGACCCCCTTCTAACGACCCTGGTGTGTTGTGTTGCTGGGGGGCCCCAGTGCATAGCTGTTCCCTGGGCCCCCTATGTTCTTAAGACGGCCCTGTCACCATGCTCGATATATTTGATCTTCCGTCTATTTAGGGCTAATCATGTTAGAGGCTTACATAATTTGATAATAATTATCGTACCGTTCCTAATATTTCCCGCGCCCGATTATAAGTCGCCGCTTACATCCCTTTATTCGCATATATCGCTGTTTTTTTTTGTTTTTGTTTTTTTTACACATTTCACAAGCTTTAAGACTTTAATAACACGGTGTCAAGCTACATTTTCATCTAATATAAAATTCTCTAATGTTAATACAGTTTTTGAGCTAAATATCAAACACGTGCTATCCGTTTTCAACTCATAGTTCATTATCAAAACTCATTCTGAAACAAAAAGATAACAAATGTCCCATCCGCCTTAAAATGTCGACATTAGATAAGACCAAGTGCTGTCAAAAGCTGTTCAACCGGCAGACGCTGCCAAACGCCATCTCAAGAGATCAGAAGTCGGCTCCAGTTCGATGACAGACCCTAGTTTGTTTCTTGATATTCACACTGCTAGATTTAGGTCGCTAGTCCAGCGTCTTAAAATTATTGAAATTTTGAGAAAAAAAATAATTGAAGATGAATAGCGTTATTACAATTTTGCTAGTTTGGGCAACTTTTTTGGTTTGCAGCGCTGAACTAATAAGGTAAGTTTCTATGAACTTAAGAATTTAAAAAAAAATCTATTATGATAAAAGCAGTCCAATTATAATCCGTGTATTTTCTATGTTGTTGTTTTTTTTGTGTGTTCATCAATGAGACTCTGTAACTGTAAGATAGTTTTAATATGAAAGATTGCGTTCAAGCTCTGTGAAGGAAATAGAAACTAGTTAGAAATAGAACACTTAAGTTTTAAGTGGTTGGGGGAGGGGGTCAGTACGATGTTTTTGTTAAGAGTTAAATAATGAATAGTGAGCATTTCCACAGAATTCAACTGAACCGCATGGAAAGTGCTCGAACCAGGATGGCCAAGTTGAAATCCGGGAAACTTCTGCGGCACCTGACCGGCAAATACGCTGAGCCTCACTATGAGCCACTCCAAAACTACCTGGACGTAAGTGACATGAGATAACTTTATAAAGTTCTTCTGGCAGATGACAGACTATAATTTCGGCTGATATGTAACAAAAAGTTTGTACATGCCAATTACATTATTTGTCCAATGAAATCCAGATCTTGATCCCCCCCCCCCGGTCCCAATCACCCTGGGTTGCCAGCCGTCAGTTAAGTAACGTACTTTTGACCTAAATTAAGTTGTCCGCGAAAGTCTCTAGGTCGTTTGTAAAACATTAGACATTGTACAAATAAAAAATCATCATGCTTCATGGACGTTTGACATATAGTCATAATCCCTCACGGTCATTAACACATAGTTATCATTCGCCATTATCATACCACACATTTTCATAGTAAAATAGTCATACAGAGGTTTACAAATATCTTGTATCTTAAAGTTTATTGTACAAATGTTTCCGTCAAATTTAAGTGGATATTTAAACATTAAAATAATCCTAAACATCAAATGGCAGGACAGGGCCCCAGACACAAGGGTACTCGCACAGGCAGGTCTACCCAGCATCTTCACCACTTCAATGCAGTCCCAGCTTCGCTGAGTGGGACATGTGCGAATGTCAGATGACCGCTTGCCCAAAAGAACATTCTATGTTGAGTTAGAGCATAGTAGATTGGTTGCTGTTGGTCAGAAGAAACGGTACAAAGATAACCTGAAGGTTTCACTTAAAGCGTTCGATATCAACCCGGACACAAGAAAAGCATCGGCAAAGGATCGAGACCCGTGGCGTTCCTCTGTACAGAAAAGTTCATTACACCATGAATCAGAACAAAAAACACCAACCGGAAGGCCCCGGTTAACTCTGCCCCTGGAGATGTCCCCTTCAATCGCCTGCACTTACTGCACAAGAACATTTTGTGCCAGAATCGGTCTCGTCGGCCATCTGCGCAGCTGCAGCCACTGCACAAGAACATTTTGAGCCAGAATCGGTCTCATCAGACATCTGCGCACCTGCAGCCACTGCACAAGAACATTTTGTGCCAGAATCGGTCTCATCAGCCATCTGCGCACCTGCAGCCGAGCTCACGATGAGCAAATACGACGAGTTAGGTGGTCATAATCGATTTCGACTGACAAACAACCAACCGTGCAGCAGTGCACAAAGGAATCAAAAGGCAGAACATGTGTGAAATGAAACCGTTGCAAGAAAAACAAAACAGCATAGCATAGTTCCTGCGGTGTGTGTCACACTAGTGAAACATTGCATAGTTCCTAGTGATACAATGAGATGTGACTATACCGAAAAAAGGATTCCATTCCATACGACAAACATGTATGTGTCGGGTTCTTAAATGTTAGCAGTATGTTTATAGGATGCGAAAGTTTGAGAACCCCCGAGAGTGTTGATCTGAGCAGAATATGTTTAGGCTAATTTGATGTTTTATTAATAAAATTTTAATAACATATTTAGTTATTAATATTAATAAAATATTTAGTAATCATAAGGTCTCTTTTGAAAACCAATTAAGAATTTCTATTAGAGGATATTAATTGAAGGAATGCGTCCAAGCTATGTGAAGGTAATACTACAAATGTTATGTCGGAGCTTGAATCCAAAGACAGGACAGTAAGAGAAAAACGTTCCGACTTAGAGCCTTCTTAAGCTGACAGGACAAGTGAAAATGCTACAAAAAAAAAAATATAGTTTTTTTAACTTCTCCATTTCTTGTTGTATTTTCATTTGTCTTGTATGCTCAAGAAGGCTCTTAGCCGAAACGTTCATATGTTATTGTCCTATTTTTTTTTTGATTCAAGCCTCCATAAACCTCGTCCTACTATTTCCTAAGAAGTTCTACAATAACTTTTTCAAAAACTAAAAACATAACAAATTCGACGGACACCTCATTTTTACAGTAACTAACACCATCTCCACCTATCACCAACGACATCCTCATCCAATTTCCATGCCCCCAGGCTCAGTATTATGGCGTCGTCGGTATAGGGACACCAGAGCAACTGTTCAAGGTCGTATTTGACACCGGCTCATCCAATCTTTGGGTTCCATCGGTCAGATGTGGACTCTTCAACATCGCTTGCTGTAAGAACCTAGTTTTAAATAAATTGTTAATAATTTAAACCAAGGTTTGTTATTGGCTGTAGTATTCAAATTTTTTGCTTTAAAAAAAATAAATTTAATCGACCTATGCCCCCAGAATATAACTGGACCAATGCTGTTTTGTCAATTACTACTTACGTAATCGTCGGCCACGTAATTGAAGGATGGAGGTCAAGGTTCGCTTTGGAGGACATAGAAATATAACTTAGCGAACATTTATTTGTGAATTAGACAGCTATAGTGCAGTAACGTGAGATTGATATTATCTTAAAGAATATAACAAGTAGCAAAACCATTTTCAGATACGTTTTATTAAATTATTTAAATAACAATTAAATTTGTCACTAAGAAATCCATACATTCTTTTAAGGGCTACTTTCCTCATTCCTTTGATACCTTGCAATTTAGAATTTCTTCATATCTCTACTACTTTCAAAGAGTCTATTTACTCATTTTGCTGAATATTGCTAAATTCTTCATTCATTTGTGAGCTTTTCGATGTATCTAGAATAACTGATTTTATTGTACACCGTTGGTATCTCTCCCCAGTACTTCACAACAAATACGACAGCTCCAGGTCACACACTTACCGTGCTAATGGCACAGAATTTTCTGTCCAGTATGCTAAAGGAGCTCTGAGTGGTTTCCTGAGTCAAGATGTCGTCAGTGTAGGTTAATTTTGATCTCCTCTGATAACTTGCATTGCTGGGACCACGAATCCTTTTTAACGTTACTACATGCATTCACTGAAAATATGAATGAGATCGTCTGTGTGTGAATGTGTGTGTGCATAAATGTGTGTACGTGTCTGTGTATGTATCTATGTGTGTCTGAGTTGATGAGTGTGTGTGTGTGCATGAGTGAGCGTGTGTGTGTGTGTGAATGTATAAATATGTGTGTGTGAGTTTGTGAGTGTGTGTATGTGCGAATATGTGTGTGTGTGAGTGTGTGTGAATGTGCGTTTGTGAATGTGTGTGTTTTGGGGTGGGTGTGTAGTATGTTTACCTAATACCGTAACATGATACATTGTTTCTGTCATCATGCAATCATTAATTGCCAGTACATTTTAGTTTACATTTTTAGTTTTAGATGATTAACTCTTTGACAATGACAACTGCCTCGCAACTGTCACACATCTTCTAAAAGTACATAGATAATACACAAAATATACTAAGTACATTCAACATTGAACATCACTCTCATGACTCTCCCCAACCCTTGTCATCCTACATTCCATGACATTCCTATTTCTGCCCTTCCATTTCCAATCGTCTGATTAGGTTGCTGGGGCCAAGGTCACCAATGTCACCTTTGGAGAGGCCATCGAAGAGCCCGGCACGGCCTTTGTGTTCGCCAAGTTTGACGGAGTTCTCGGCCTGGCCTATAAGTCCCTGGCCGCCGCTGGCGTCACACCGTTCTTCGTGCAGGCCGTGGAGCAAGGCGTCGTTGACTCGGCCATCTTCTCCTTCTACCTTGGAACGTGAGTCTCATTGAAAATGCATTTTTATACTTTGAATCAATAAAACATTTGAATATAATGTGTAATTTGATTAATTTTATAATATTTAATCTGTCAAGTTTTCCAACCAATAATCTGAAGGCGATCAAATCTAATTTTCACTCAGATTCTCTTTCGATTATTTCAACAATTTGCCAAGTTATCTTTTTAAACTCTTCGTTTAGTGACGCTGACGCCAAAGTGGGCGGTGAATTGGTTCTAGGCGGTATCGATCCTCGTCTCTACTCAGGACCTATAACATACGCTTCAGTCATAGAGCAGAGATGGTTCTCAATCCATGTCTCTGGGTAAGTCCAGTCGTCCACACATGTCAAGACGCCACCAGTGCCATTGTTTTCTTAATGCTGAGTTTTAAGAGTTCAAGCTTAATGTTTTGTTATTATAATATTACGTTTATTTAATTGAATTTTTGCTAAAATAGCAATAACAAATGTGTGTTTATTGCACAGTATTCAGGTAGGGGGATCAGGAGCAGGCTACTGCGGCAGTAAGGGCTGTAAAGGAGTTGTCGATACCGGAACATCCCTCATGTCAGGGCCAACAGAGGCCATATTGGACATCTACGACAAAATAGGAGTTGTGCCTGGACCAGATGTATGGGTGCTTTAACATTTCCATTTTAACTAATTTATTGTAAATCACGACATTTATAATTAACTGTTTTATTTTTTAATCATAATTATACATTAACAAGATGTTGGTGATTTCAATATTTTGTTATTACTTTCCGAGGAAGAAGTGCCTGATTTCCATAATTTATGCCCAGTCTACATAAGCCTAGCGCCTCCAACATCTAGGGGGCCTTACAATTCAAGAATAAGAAATTAATAGATTCCCGCGTTTGAAAAAGACAAAAAACAAAAAAAATTGACAAATATATCAATTAAGATAATTTTTTTTTAAATGTGGAACATTTAATAGAAAATGAAGGAACATTAAAAAACCTGATAGTGAATAACTCAATAGCAGAAACCGAAAAGAGGCATGTGGTGCTAGGTGGTGGTAGGTGGTGGTAGGGGGTGGTAGGTAGTGCTAAATGGTGGTAGGTGGTGGTAGGTGGTGGTAGATACAGTTTGTGCTACGTTGTGCTAGGTGGTTGTAGATTTATGGAACAAGAACTAAATAAGCATGTAGCGGAAAACTGATTTGGAGATGTTTGTTGGTGTTTTAGTGATTTGACTGTGGATTGTGGATCTAATCGTTAGGATAAAATAGGTCGAACTGGAGCTGGTGTGACGTCAATCAGTTGCAATAAACTACCAGTTGTCACTCCTGGAAGAATTCTGCATTGTTACAAAGACTGTCTTAATGAAAATTCCATAGAATATTTGCTGCCTTCAGCACATATCAACTGACCAGTTAACTAGACATATTTTGCCATGTTATTATTTTACAATGTTAGATGTTAATCCATTTTTTTATCTTGACAAAATTAAATTCTTATTAAAACAACTTAAATAACAAGATAAATAACATCATATAACAAGTTCTTTATATCATAATTTTACAGTTATTATCTTTACTATCTTGTACAAACCCAAACAGTTTACCCTGCCTGACTGTCGAATTATCTCCAAACTACCAAACGTGACCTACACCATCCAAGATCGAGAGTTTGTGCTAACTCCAGAGGACTACATTGTTGTTGTAAGTTAACCAGAAGACAATGAAGCATCTTTTTTAAGAGTCTTAAAATGTAAAACGTCATCATCAGTGGCGCTACTATCTGCTCCACCACATCCTTCTGTGAACCCCGAACTGGTGTACGTCCTTCTCTGCATCGCCAATTCATCTCAGAATTGGTCAACCAAGGCTTCTGCCTGTATATCACTTTTGCTGCCTTACAGTCCGGGATCCTTTCCAATATGTCCTGCTCAGAGCAGTCTGCCTTTTTATTTTATTGTTGTGACTATGGGTGGGTTTTTCTACAATTGATGTATCTCTTGGTTTGTATGGATTCTCCAGACGTCATTGTCCATCACTCGGCCGTATATCTTCCAGAGACGTCTGAAAACAGTGAGATGCGGGGAAGAGGAAATGTCACGTTTCTCAGTGTCGGACTGGGAGTAGTGGCGTGGGTTTTAAGGGACATAAGTTTGGCTATCAGACTGTGAGGAGAAGTGAGAATAAGTTTGGTCCTGTCAACATTGTCGCTCGGACATGACCTGAAAGCATCAACGCGGGTAACATTCCTAACCCTTTGAAGGGCTTTGTCCCAAATGTTATCCTCCGACTGGCAAAGTCGACGAAGTCGAAGTAGTTCAGAAAAGGAAATTGAGTCTTTACATGATTAAGGGCGGGAGGAAGTGAAGAGTAAATAGCTGCTGCTGTCAGTAGTTTTAAAGTAGGTGGGGGTGACTAGACTGTCTTTGTAAAGGGTGAAAGCAATGTCCAAATAGTTGACTGAGATCTCAGAGACAAGAGATTGGAATTTAATGGAGGGGTGAAAAGAGCCAACAACGAAGTGAATGAATAGGTCAAGTTCAATCCTCTCCATAGTGGTGACCCCAAGACCATCACCAATGTACCTGCTATAGCATTCAGGGAGGCGTCCATTGTAGTTGCTATCCACCATGTTTTCAAAATGTCCCATGAACAAAGGTGTGGTGGTCTATAAGGATGTTGTCATCAGTGTGCGTGTTTCATGACATTAAGATCTCTTTAAAACCACTCCATGTATTAATATTAATGATTAGCATAATCATCACTGGCATTCTTTTGTTGGTTTTAAAGAAACACTAAACTTAACTAAATAATATTTTTTCCACTATGTGTATGCGCACGAGAGCGTTCAATCAAAACGTACATTGGATTGCCTTTTGTTGTTGGGCAATGGGCTACACATCACTGTACTTCATGTTCATTAACACTGCTGGAACGCACCCCATTTTACATTAAACTTAAGCATCCCAAGCGATCCCCCAGGTTACAGAATTAAACGTACCTGAGCATCCCACGCGATCCCCCAGGTTACAGAATTAAACGTACCTGAGCATCCCAAGCGATCCCCCAGGTTAAAGAATTAAACGTACCTCAGCATCCCAAGCGATCCCCCAGGTTAAAGAATTAAACGTACCTCAGCATCCCAAGCGATCCCCCAGGTTACAGAATTAAACGTACCTCAGCATCCCACGCGATCCCCCAGGTTACAGAATTAAACGTACCTGAGCATCCCAAGCGATCCCTGAGGTTACAGAATTAAACGTACCTGAGCATCCCAAGCGATCCCTGAGGTTACAGAATTAAACGTACCTGAGCATCCCAAGCGATCCCTGAGGTTACAGAATTAAACGTACCTGAGCATCCCAAGCGATCCCCCAGGTTACAGAATTAAACGTACCTGAGCATCCCAAGCGATCCCTGAGGTTACAGAATTAAACGTACCTCAGCATCCCAAGCGATCCCCCAGGTTACAGAATTAAACGTACCTGAGCATCCCAAGCGATCCCTGAGGTTACAGAATTAAACGTACCTGAGCATCCCAAGCGATCCCCCAGGTTACAGAATTAAACGTACCTGAGCATCCCAAGCGATCCCTGAGGTTACAGAATTAAACGTACCTCAGCATCCCAAGCGATCCCTCAGGTTACAGAATTAAACGTACCTGAGCATCCCAAGCGATCCCTCAGGTTACAGAATTAAACGTACCTGAGCATCCCAAGCGATCCCTCAGGTTACAGAATTAAAGGTACATGACTTACAAATAAGTTTTCTTTTAACTATGAATTATTAATGTCAGTAAAGAAATGTTCCTACCCAAAGAAGGCGCAGATAGCGGCTCGTCTATGTTGCCAGCTAGATAGCAACACAATTTGTTTACATATTCTTTTTTTGGGTTCAAAGTGAATAGACTAAAAGTATTGCCTACACATATTATGACGTGTACTGAGAGGGCACCAATTGTTCTCCATAGCAACAATCTGGGAGCAAGACCGAGTGCCTGATTGGTTTCATGCCCCTGGATGTCCAGCCGCCTGAAGGCCCTATATGGATCCTCGGTGATGTCTTCATCTCACAGTACTACACCATCTTCGACATGGAGAAACACAGGGTTGGCTTTGCCACAGCAAAGAGGCCTTAACACAGACTTTTTAATACATATGTGTCTTGCTGTTAGAGTTATCCGTGGTTTTTCTTAAGGTAGTTTGGTGTATACTTTATATTTGTACTGTGTCCGGCTATTACAGTCATCAGTTGTTTTTGTTAAGGTAATTTGATGCATACCTTATATTTGTACTAAGTCCGGCTATTACAAGTATCAGTGGTTTTTGTTAAGGTAGTTTGATATTTTCTATAAATTCCTGCTGTACAATTATGGTTAATGAACAGTACGTGTGCACAATAATTCCACTGGCAGGATCAAATGCCATCCGGGAAAGGTCATGATTTTTTTGCAACCCCTGCGGCATAAAACAAATTATCTGCTGTTGGCACAAACTCTCGCCCCTCAATATCAAGAAATAAAAGTGCTACCCCCACCACCCTCTTCCTTCGCCGCTGACCGGTTCATAGAACACCAACATAAATAAGACATACATAGCAATCGTGTTGTGTGCAGCGCCGGTAACTAAGGAATTATTTCCCTACTGTTTTAGAGTAATGCGTTCTACAGTTATCGCCTGTCAGCTGTGATTAAAAGCACTGCATCCTCCTTTCGACCAGTGGATAGACGGTACGAAAACATCCGGAGTCGTTGTCCCCACCCCTGAACCCCACCCCTGAACCCCACCCCTGAACGCCACCCCTGAACCCCACCCCTGCACCCCCCCCCTGCACCCCACCCCTGAACCCCACCACTGAACCCCATTCCCCTCCTTTCCCACCTCCCCAAACCCCCCCCCCTCAAAAAAAAGTAGTCCGTCAGAATGGACTTACAAGGGGAAGTCATGCGGGAATTGATTGCGACGATGAAAACACTAGGGTTGCCATCCGTCCCGATATATGGGGGACTGTCAACTTTATGGACCTTATAGGTAATTTACATTAAATAACTTTGTTTACTTTATTTCTAAACCACCATCCGAGAATGTCCCGACGAGGTCCCAGGTAGATGTGGCAACGCTAGGGAACACTGAGTACGTTACGTAAACCACAAAGTTGGAAGGGACCAGACTACCTGGTGTGCGATTCAAACTCCAGTGGTTCGTCTTCGGTTTTAGGCGGAAACATTAGAATTATGGTGGAAATTTTAACTAAGACATTGTCTACGGCGAGAGCAGTTAAGAGGGTCGTGTGGTTTTTGTTTGAGGTATAATAGTATGTTTTCGCTTCCGTTACAATCTCTCTCTTTCTCTCACTGGCTCTCTATATCTTCTCTCTCCCTCTCTATGTTCCTTAATTGTGGCTTCTTTCTCATAGGAATAAATAAAAAACACATGTTATGATAATATCTTTATTTCTTTTCTTTTCAACATCTTGTGGTTATATTTAAATACATTTATTTTAACAAATCTTACATGCTTATAATATTCCAGGAATAGATAAAACTAGTTTCATATTTGAAGCTCAGTAAAATAACACACATTATTTAAACATTGGTGTAAACCATTCTTATAACCCTTGAACAAATTCAGGAACAAATCTCTTGGAGGTCTAAGAAAAATCATTGTCATAGTATATTTTAGAAGTAAATTTGCAAGTGTAAAATATACAACAAAATCCCTAAGAATGTAAAGACACGTGTACAGGAACTGACGTGTGCCATTCGCATAATGCTATTTCGTTTAAATTATAGCATCGTTTATCGCTTATCTTTTTTTTCGTTTAAATACCGCCTGATTGTTCACTTGGTTGAAACTCTTAAAACAACATCACTTGGCATTCCCTCCTAACACCTCGGATCTATTTGAACGAGATTATCAAATCAACCGACTGTGCAGTGAATGCAGCAGTTCCAGCAGTCTCGTGCTAGAACTTGAGTAACAAGATGTTTTTAACAGTTTGATTACCGAAAAGTCGACAACAAAGAAACATTAATAATCCCTTTTTAAAAAGTCATAAATCTGCATGTGTAACCATAAGCATAAAACCAATACAGGTAAACACTAAAATTCTTCAGTTGAATACATTCCCGAATATAAATTCACTATGTAGCGGCTCAACATTGCGAAGTGGTTAATGATATTCGCAAAATGTTGCTGGCAGGTGATGTTTGCTGTAAGTGGATGTGATGTGTCAAAGAAGAGAGTGTATGAAGATAACATTAAAAAAATTGACGAAAGCAAAACTGCATCGCTGCCAGAACTGCTTAATCTTTACCCAACGTAAGCCCTTACCTATTCTTCAACCAAAAACCTCCTCACATCCTTGTTGAAGAACAAGTTAAAAAATTTAAACAAGAGAGAAAAACACATCCGCTACAACGCTAGATGAAGTAATGAACACGAAAATAATGTTCTTTTTTAGTAACACGCATTAAATTAATGATAAAAGTTAATTTTTTGCAATCAATAAATGAGTATAACGACCGTTTGAGTATTTTCTTCATATTGTTTTAAACCCCCACCCCACAAGCCACCCTCGGAGTCATTCGAAGAGATGTTTTACTTCCAGACGAACGAATCACGGGGTATCATAAACACCACACAGGCGAAGGCCTACTGATTTGAAACTGTTAAAAGTCCTAGGGTTCAAACTGTTCCATTAACTCTCAAACTGGGGCAACCAAAACCAACGCAGTCCTTTTATTTAACTCGTGCAGCCAAACCGTGTATCATAGAAAGTTTCGATCTGTCAGTCCTTAATTCGTCTGGTCCGTAAAAAGTCGTTTGAGAATCATTCGCTAAGATTTTTTAAAAAAAGTTTTTTTTTTTTTTTGCTTGCATTTAAAATGATGCAAATATTGATGCAATAATTTATGTTATATTAATAATGACCTTGACATTCTTTGGCTGACAATAACATAATTCCTAAACGTTCATTAAAACAACAGGATAGTGTTTGAACACTTTTAATAAATGCCGTGCCATGTAAAATGTAACAAAAAAGCTGTAAAAATACACTGAAGTGAAATGTAGCTCTTCAGCTTCACTGCGTAGCTACACACTATGAATATGGAATGTAACGCATAAGCTCCTATGTTTAGCTAGACATAATGGAATTAAGCTCATAAGCTCCATTTTTTAGCCATACACTATGGGATGTAACTGTTCTCATTAGTTCCATTGTTTAGCTAGACAACTTGGAATGTAGGGGTATAAAAAAGGAACAATCAACAAGCGTAACTAAAGAAAAAGAATAATAAGAGTAAAATATCTGAAACTCTCGCCCCACCATCATCCGTCGCTTGATTGTGTAACCAACATTTGGCGTCATCAGACGTAACCATGGTTCTTAAACTGTGCTGATATCAACCCCGACACTGTGGACCTTCACGAAGTCCCCACTCCCAGCTTGGGCTGCGGGGGTTTCTTCCACCGCAGGTTTGATGTCCTTCCTCAGTGACGCCGGCATCAGCTGTTTGAGCCTGGCCAGCCTCGACATCGGGGACTTGCCGGGCGATCCCAGCTCTGTGATCTTGTTGAAAGAGTGAAACTTGTTGAGGTCCATCCCCTTGCCCTCTGGTGTCTCATAGTTGCCTTCATCCGTGGTGAACGCCTTGTTGGTGTAGGCTAGAAAAAAAAAAATATTTTTTTTTGGACATTATATTTTTAAAAAGTGATTGTTTTAATCCTGGTAAATAGTATCATATGTATTATAAAAATGCATTGTAGTCACTAAAATGTACATGTTCTTTTCTATATATTGATGGTCCACTATCAATGTTTTAATCATGATGGCTCCTATGTATGAAGAGGTGATTCGCGATGTTTCTGTGCCTGGTATTGAATAGGATATTTAATAATAAATAATAATAAAGTTTATTTGAAAATCACGCTTCATCCACAAAGGCTCGAAGCCCGGTACAAAGTTAACCATATTAAATGAGAAATGAAAAAAAAAAAAAATTATACCACATTGAAATACAAAATGCAACATTACAAAAACTACTTACGAGAATACCCATTCTAATTCTTTCATCCCTTACAAAAATAAAAAAAACCAGACCAATAGACATCTAGGAGATAATAGCCAGCTGGAAAAGATGGTAGGCAACATCACCCCAGCAGGTGTTTTGCGAAATAGATGTGTTTTCAATTCAGTTTTGAAAGACTTCAGTTTCAGCCTGTTTCTGAGAGCATGAGGAAGTGTGTTCAAAGTTCTTGGACCAGCAATTGCGAAAGTGCGCCTTCGGTAAGTCTCAAGGTGAACACGTGGTATCGACAGTTTGCCACTATCGGATGAGCGGAGTTTTCTAGTGGGTACGTAAGTCGTCATGGGCGCTTTGAGATAGGACGGCGCCAGGGCATGCTAGCAGCGGTAGCACAGAGTTGCAATTTTGTACCCCATGCGAGCTCGGACCGCAGCCAGTGCAACCCTCTCAGAAGTGTTTTAGCATGGTCAAATTTGCGTTTGCGGAGAACAATGCGAGCCGCATTATTCTGTGCTGTTTGAATTTTATCCAGGAGCGTAGCTGAAAGACCCACCATGAGAGCATTGCAGTAGTCCATGCGTGATAGCACGAATGCAGACATCGGCCTCTTTGTTGCATCAAACGTTAACTCAGTGATGTATCAGGAGCTGGGGGGGGGGAGGGGGGTTGTAAGGCATTTTGCTTGTCGGTACACTAATGACCAAACCTGAGATCTATTTTATTGCAATAGCTCACGGTGCCAAAGAATAACCTCTTGTGCCAATAGTATTTTTTTTTTAAAAACATAATAAATAGATATCACTTGAAGCTCTTAAAATATGTCCAGTTTAGTCCAAAGCCTTGTACACCGCAATGATTGAAAACTCGAAGGCAAATTTTATGGGGCACTGGGACAATTCTTCTGTTTTACACTTTCAATAAAACCTGCTTTTAACCACAGACCAGTAGAAGAAATATCTATACAAGAACTGACCAAGCTCGATTGATGACAGCTTGCCGTCCAGTCCAATGGCCTTGATGTCCTCGACATGGCCGTGACCGTAAGCCTCAAGTGGATAGGCGGGCTGGCTGTGACGTGCAATGTCAAGGCCTGAATTGAAAAGGTGTGATACGTTTAGCAAAATAACGTAATGTACAAAGGTCGTGTGGTTGTATCTCTGACAGGAGGTAATGCAACCAAAAGACAGTTTAAATTCATGGATATAATTTACTTCTCCAAAAAAACAATAAAAAAATGTAATATTTAGTTTTATGAAAGAAATTATTTTTAAACTGAGGAGTGGACAAAGGTGAATCTGGTAGATAAAAATTATAATATAATTGGTTAACTTTATGTAGTTTGTACACTCCTCCTAACGGGTTCATGTGATGCTGTACAGTAATTTTTTTTAATGTGATTTTGAGATTTTTAAAAAAAAAAAGTGTTTCTTTGCTTAAATTTAAGCTCTAACCTTTCTTTTCGATTTCCTCGCTGACTCTAAAGATTCCTGCCAACTTCAGACATCCAAATAAGATCAGGGACATGGTCGACGTCCACAGAATAATGGAAGCCACGGCAGCCAGCTGCCAGGCCAGCATCTAAACAAAGAAAAGTGTGTGGGGGTGGGTGGGAGAGGGAGGAATTTACATAAAATTTTACCAGAGGTCAGTCATCATACGACGTATTTCCATTAATAAAATTATGGATAACATTTAAGTTTGGAAAAAATTGTTGGCATGAGATCAAGGATAATTTTAAACATTTCAACAATGAAAAAATTTATTTTATTATAATTATACCTTGATCAAGTGTGTTAACAAATATAGGAGGGGTTTATTAATGTTAACAATGAAACTTGTCATTCACAACAGAGCTTCGTCATCCGTTTCCAATGAAATTTGTCAATGGGAATTAGAACATAACTTTGAGGAGATGGTTAAAAAAATCTTATTTCCTTTAATTTATCTATACTATATTGATACGAACAGTGATGTGTGGTCAAAGTTATTGTTAAATATAGGTATGTCTTTCCCAGAGCTTGAACTAGCCATGTTTTTAATTACAACGAGGGAAGGTTCACTGTTTCAATATCTTAATTGTGAGTAAAGGGACTAAGCTATTTCTTTGTCCCACTGAAATGTGTGTTTGCTTACAGCGAACGAGCGCTTGTCCCAAGACATCAGGATTCCAGTGTCGTATTTCAAGAAGGCGATGCTCAAAGCGCCCCAGGATCCGCCTCCGAAGTGAACTGTCCACAAAAAAAACACCAAAAAAACAATGACAGTATCTATGGAAGTTGGTTTCAGAACGATACTAGTTTAATAACTAACATAAATACACTGTTGACGATTTCAGATTACTCTCTTATAACCCCGGCTAGTACATTGGCAACCCAGGCTACTCTCTTATGACCCCGGCTAGTACATTGGCAACCCAGGCTACTCTCTTATGACCCCGGCTAGTACATTGGCAACCCAGATTACTCCCTTATAACCCCGGCTAGTACATTGGCAACCCAGATTACTCCCTTATAACCCCGGCTAGTACATGGGCAACCCAGGTTACTCTCTTATAACCCCGGCTAGAACATTGGCAACCCAGATTACTCTCTTATAACCTCGGCTAGTACATTGGCAACCCAGGTTACTCTCTTATAACCCCGGCTAGTACATTGGCAATCCAGATTACTCCCTTATAACCCCGGCTAGTACATTGGCAACCCAGGTTACTCTCTTATAACCCCGGCTAGTACATTGGCAACCCAGGGCTACTCTCTTATAACCCCTCCCCGGCTAGTACTTTGGCAACCCAGGTTACTCTCTTATAACCCCGGCTAGTACATTGGCAACCCAGGTTACTCTCTTAGAACCCCGGCTAGTACATTGGCAATCCAGATTACTCCCTTATAACCCCGGCTAGTACATTGGCAACCCAGGTTACTCTCTTATAACCCCGGCTAGTACATTGGCAACCCAGGGGTACTCTCTTATAACCCCGGCTAGTACATTGGGAACCCAGATTACTCTCTTATGACCCCGGCTAGTACATTGGCTACCAGCCCCATCTGCTAAGCCGTGCCTAATAACATTGTCTTCACGTAGGGCTCTCCCGCCCTGGACTGCCTTGAAACCTCTAGTGATGGGCATTCGGTCAACAGATGCGCCAGTGTTTCTGGGTCCAGGCTGCAATGCTTACTGGAGTGTACCTTTCATTAAAGAGTGTATTGTGGTTTCAGCTTCTTTCTCTGTCCGTTAATTGACGGAGCTCAAAGAATCGTAACCGTAGGCATCTCTGGTCTACATTTACAATTTAAAGAAATTGGTAGAAACTATTTACAATATTTTGAACTGGATCCATTTCTTTGAATTCGTCTTTATCATTAAGTAATCTCAACATCATAACAGTTGTTTAGACATTTAGACATGACCTATATATAACTTTTAGATGTCAACAACAGATGAGTGATACAAATAATTTCAATAAGCGTATCAAATGATCTTTTACATATTGAATAATCTAAATGTCATTTTTACGTTACGTAAAACTCCTAACAAAATATCCAAAGCCGCCAAGTTAATGCGTGAAGCGCCATGAGAAAGTATCCCGAGTGTCTCACTCACTTCCTACAGCGTTGAGTGGATCATCGATCTGAAGTTTAATGAGAGCCCTCTCCAAGCCTTTCATTATGAAACAAGCCACGAAGCCGACGATGCCTGCCGCCCATGGTCTCATGGCATTACAGCCCCCACAGATGGCCACCATGCCGACGAAGGCGCCGTTAATCACTGCGTTTATGTTCCAAGTGTTGCCGAAAAGTCCAACTCTATTTAAGCAAAAAAATAATAGGATTTTCTCAAGCATGTCAATTGGCACAATGTTCCCCTAAGTCTAATTAAGCCCGAATCAAAAGTTTATTTTTGCTATATGAGTTAAAGAATCATTCCTCCTGATGTCGTCTCGGATACTACATTTCAGCAAAGTGTTTATTTTAATTTTTATTCATGTTTTACTCATTGTTTGCTCGCTGAAGAAGGCGTCTTGCCGACACGTTGATTATTTTTTGGGTCATTTGTTTCAGGTTTCCTTACACTTTGTTTCACATATTTCATTCTACCAAACCAGATTTCTGCCATCCCCCCCCCTTTTTTTTTCTTCTTATTATCTTTTTGAATGACACCTATCAAAATGCAATTGTTAGAAAATGTTCAAGTCCATTAAAGTAGTTATTAAATAGTTTATTGGTCAACTATTGTCCTAACACGTCCATCTTGTGCACACTCTTCCCTGAGTCCCGTTATCATAACCTACCTATGCGTGATCAGTGAAGCGAAACCACCGACACTGGCTGAGATCAGAGTGTTGAAGACGGCCAAGCTGATGACGGACGCGTCCCCTGGTTGAGTGATGTGGAGCTGAGAGGCGGCGTTGAAGGACATGAAGCCGAACAGCAGCACGAAAATGCCCAGGGTTGCCAACTGTCATGGACGAGAATTTTATTGGACAGTGCGTGATTAATTTTTTTGTTAAAACAGAACGCCGGCTTTTGATAATACACTGGATTATTGAAGGTTTACCTATGCCAATATTCTATGTATAGTGGCATTAGTATTAGGGCTAGCATTCAACCACACAATGACTCGACAAGTGCGATCCACACGCCTTTGGTCACGTGGCTATGAATTTTAAAAACCACGAAAACCAGGTTGAAATGTAAATAGATTTCCCGTGAATGCTGACGAAAAGAAAAATGCCCACTTGTTAGGTGGATGATGGATTGTGGATAGTGTCTCTTAACGCAAATGGAAACATTTTTCCCCACATTGCATTGCAATAATAAATATTGACTTAATACAGAGAACTTCCATATGTTCACGTAAAGTAGCAATGCGTCTGATACATTCTTTTAAAAATTCAACTCCATTCCGGCTAAAGGACATCTAAGTTCACAAAGTGAAAAAAATAGACAACGAACTGTCTAAAAAAAGGTTTAGGGATTTCTTTCTTTCTTTTTTTCTTTTTTTTTTTTTTTGCAAACGGTCCTGATCGTTCGTAAGAAAATTGGAATGAAGTTTAAGTTTAATTTTAAAATAAAAGTCACTGACAGCAATGGAGTGGCCTCTGATGGGAACGGCTGTTTAGGGATTTTTTTCTTTTTTTTTTTCTTTTTTTTTTTTTTTGCAAACGGTCCTGATCGTTCGTAAGAAAATTGGAATGAAGTTTAAGTTTAATTTTAAAATAAAAGTCACTGACAGCAATGGAGTGGCCTCTGATGGGAACGGCTGTTCCGGTCTCCTTGTGAAATCTTCCAATGCGAGGTCCAAGAAAACACGTGGCGACAAAAGCAGCGCTCCCTCCGACAAGATGGACCAGTCCACTACCACCGTAGTCCTGGGGAAAAACGTTTAACAAAAGGCGGACATATTAAGCTTCTGAGACAACTTGACTCGGAGTTAAGTATAATTATTTCAAATGAATTGCATCACAAGCTAACCGGGACGACGCTTCTGTGAAGGACATGTGCAAATAACTGCAGCGAAAGTATATAATGTTTCTCAAGGCAAATGATATTTATTGTGTTATTGTTATACATAAAGAAGAATCAGTGATTTCAGATAGACCCGTTCATTTCATGGCCTTCCTCGACTCTATTTCTAAATCCTGAAATTTATTTTACTCCACGCTAAATTGTTAAATGAATTTTGATAATGAATTTTAAAACGCACGACTCACCATTTAGCAGTTGTATTCAATACATTCAAATAATAGATGCTTTTTAATCTTTGAAACATTCCTTCATGCATCTTTTGACGTCCGATTGAAACAACAAGATTGCTTGCCGTTTCAAACATATCTGCTACATTTTCAACAAGACTATATCATGCATACCTCATATCTAATTGTTTCCATGACACCGTGGATCTCAAAGTCGTAACCCTGGTACAGCCATCCTTGGGTGGTCCACCCCCAGTGGGTCACCACAGGGTAAATGAAGGCTGAATTATAGAGAAATTAAAAATAATGTTTCTCCAAAAATATATATATATATATTTTTTTTTCATATATTTTTTTTTTGTTTCGTATGTGCATCTTTACAAATACATTTTAAAACTTAACAAACACTGACAAATGAATGGTGGAAAAGTCCCTAGTGATCTCTGTCAAAAACATCTGATACTATAGGCTCAAATGAAAGACCTAAAAGGTATAAGTTTGAGTGGCCTGTTTGAAATCATACGTAAAGAACTAACTTAACATTGCTTAGGTTTTACGCTTCGCTCAATGACCGAATCATTTCTTGGTCATCCACTGATGGTCAACGTGAAACGTGTACAAATGCAAGCTTACCCGTGAGAAAGAAACTGTAGATGAGATACGCCTTGAACTCACACCTCTCAGTGACAGCCCCGGCCACGATGGTGGTGGCGGTGGAGGCGAACATGGCCTGGTAGAAGAAGAACGAGATCTTGGAGTCGTGGAGGTCGTGCATGGCCCAGTTGTGCCAGCCCAGGAATTCGTTTCCTTTACCGAAGGCCAATGCGTAGCCAACGAGCCAGTAGGCGATGCCTGCCGTGACTGGGGAAACAAAAGACAGGGAGAT